TACTGACTCATTGAGGGGAAGGGATGAAAGATAGTTCAGAGCTCAGAGAGCAGAGGTGATGTGGGAGGAAGCAGGGTAGGATACAGGACGTAATTATACTGGAGATACCAAAAAAATAGTTGAAGACAGAAGCAGAGAAGAATATAAAAGGTGAAAGCACTCTTAGAAAAAAAAATATATAATGCATTCTCTTTTGTGCTTAGGCATGGGTGAAGGTGCACACTGTGCCACAGCTTTGGCTTGGGAGCTGCTGTAAGGGATGAAGGAATTGTCTTAGCTTTAAATACATGAACACATATGAGACCTATACTGACATCACTAACTTGTTCCACATGACAACCACGTCATTATAGATGGGAGATGCTTCCAGCTACTCCTCTTTTAGCTTCAGCTGACTGTCCAAATGTCAGTCATTGTGCAGTGACTGTCTCTGATCACTTGGTTTTTTCCTTCACTAGATGCCTAGTTGGCAATCCCAGTGGAAGAAGCTTTGGAGATGTAGCTTTCCTGGAACACTCGAACCTGCTCCAGAACATTGAAGGTGAGATGCAGATTCTCTTTCCCTTTGAGAATCTTCCTTAGGGTCAGTGACTTCCCACAAAGTGACCATCACTTGTGAGGATCAGCCTTTATGGGTTTAATCTGGGTCCATGGAGTGGTGCTTGTGACCAGAAAACTGCAAGAACCTTCCTGCATGTGGGTGTTCCAGTAAAGCTCAACACTAAGGTGCTAGAGAGGAAAGAGGAAGAATTCCTGAGTGCAAAGAGCAGTGTGTGTGTTGGGGGATAGTCATCTTTGGACACTGCACTAATTTTTGGAAAGCTCAAAGCTTTAAAAAGCTGGGGATTTTCCCATCAGCCCTTCTCCCACAGGCAGCCAAAGTGCAGGTACCCATTGTTTTAAAATCAGAGTTTCCAGAATGAAAATGGCAGGTAAGGGCAGTGCTGTGGGTGTTTGTGCTGGGAGATGTTCTGTGACATGGCAGCTTCCTTAGATTGTCTCCCAGGCACTTATGGGATAAACAGGCCAAACAGCTTAATAGGCAAAACCACTGCAAATTATGTTGCCTTTCACAGTCTCTAAAATAGCAGTGTTACTACACTGTGAAATACTTAATTTCCTCTGGGAAACACTGATCTTTGCAACAGTCTAGCAATTGGATTTTGTTGATGAAAATGATTCTGGTTGCAGGAGCTTAAATCCCCTCAGTCTCTTAAATGATGTTTACTGCTCCAACAGCCCAAACATGCTTTTCATAGAGTCGAGGGGAAAGGGAATCCTCATTTGTTCAGCCTGGTGAAGCACACTGAAATTCTGCTTTAGGCAATTTCAGTAACAAAAGGAGACTGTTTGAAGAGAAGAATCTCTCTAAAATCAAGTGAGGGTGTAAGGGCCTGGAAACCCCCAGGAGTTCATGCAGCAATGAGCAGTTTGTTGGGGGAAGCAAAGGACATGCAGGCCAAAGTGCTTTGTTTCTAGAAAAGGATCTGGTCACAGACGAAGATGAGACATGATAGGCCTTGATATTCCTCTGGTTTTAGTTGAGAGGCACAGCTTAAATTCACTGCCCTGGGCCTTGTGCCTTCCCCAGAAACGGCCACACAGACTGTTTGGAACACACCAGCTGAGCTTCTTCCTCTCCACTTTCAACATTTTCCAGGAGATTTCACCCTGTCTTCTGCTTTAATTTTTCAAAAGGATTTGCTTTCACTTCATTGTCTTTTCAGATCTGGACAGCTCTGGTTGGGCCAAAGGTTACAGCCCCCTCGACTTTGAGCTGCTGTGCCCGGACGGGACCCGCGCTGCAGTCATGGAGTGGGCGGGGTGTCACCTGGGCCACATCCCCCCCAGCGCTGTCATCACCCGGCCAGTCACTGTCACCAAGATCCACGACTTCCTGCTGCAGTCCCAGGTAAGGCAGGGAACAGGGCAAAGCTTGGCTTGTTGTCACCTGTTATGTACAACTCCTGAAAACCCTGCCAAGATCAAAAAGCTTTCTATACTACACACATAAGTGCCTTCAGATCCAATATGAAACAATTAGAAATGTGCAGAGGGTGTTAAGAAAATAATGATTTGGATTCTCTGAAGGGTCATTTTGGCCCCAGTTCCCATTCAGCAGTGGCCACACAAATAAGGCACTGCAAAACTGCATCTTCTTGTACCAGTCAGGACAGTGCTAGGTGGATCCCTTCTTTCTGCTATATCTAAAATTGAGACTCACCAGCTTAACCTTGCTGCTTCTGGTCCAAGCTGTGAAACTTTCTCCTCTGGTTAGGAATCTCTGGGAAGCAAACTGGATTCTGAATTCCAGCTCTTTCAGTCCTGGAAGTACGGTGGAAGTGATCTGCTTTTCAAAGACGCTACTCAGTACCTTGTTCCTGCAAGTCACCTGAGCTATCAGGAAATCCTGGGAGAGTCTTTCATCCAGCTGGCAGAATCGGTGTTTAACTGCACACCTGCAGGTAAAATCAAGTCCTTAATTCTGAGTCAGAGAGAAATGCAGCAGGCATTTCTGTGCACAGCTATTGCCCTTTTGTTTAGGCTGCATGGGAAAGTATGATCTACATAATCCTGTTAGTATTAATTTCCCAAGGAGTCCTGTGTTTGGAGCTCCTTTAGAAAACTCCTATCCCAAAGCACTGAAAGTGGAGCTTTGCAGAGACAGAATAACCAACACATTGTAGAGCAAATATGAGGTTATTGAGATAGGACTGTTACTCTCACTCTGAATTTTTTCCCCTTTGATTCCAGGGATCAGTTCTGCTGTTTTAATGAGTTATACTTGAAGAATTTATTACTTTTAAAGCTGATAGCAACTTGAGGTGTGTATTTTCTTGCTGGTTTGCAGGCATCCTGGACTTCTGCAAACAGGATATCTGTGCATCTTCATCCAACTGACAGAGACAGAGGCTGTGCAGGACACGTACATCATCCTCGTTCCTGAAAACCAGGAAATGTGCAAGTCCAGCCCATCCAAAGCAATCAGCAAGGAAACAGGCATCTCTAGAAAGGGATGCTGAATATCCTCATCTTTTTTTTAAAGCAGGTTTGATGTTTATGATAATGCAAAACTACCCCTGTCCTGTTTGGAGCAGGGCAGCACAGGGAGCAGCCCAGCCCAGAGCACAGAAGTAGGATCAGCAATTCTCTGCAACTACTCTGGAGAAATCAGCATTTCTGTGGAAATAGCAGGGCCAATGCCATGGACTAAAATACAGACTGGCAGCAGTAGCACAGGTTAGTGGGTAGCATTTTGCCTTGCTTGTCTTATAAAGAGTTTCCATGCACAAACCTGACATTTTGGTAAATGTCATTGTCCTCCTGTGTCTGTGAGTTTGGTTGCAGCCAGGTAGTCCTTGCACAATGCACATATGTGCCATAGGCTGTGCATGTAGTTGCTATCAGAGCAGTGGTCTTTTCTGCTGTTAACTGAGAAAATGTATTTGCTTTTTTTAACCAAAGATTTTTACTACTAAATCAAACCTTTTTTTTTTTTTTCTCACAAATAAATGTATTAAGGCATTTAAAAGCCAGCAGAACTGGATACTTGCAGCCTTATGGTGGAAAAAAAAAAAAGCAATGGATATTCATCCTTCTCACAACCTCCAACCATTGCTTTCTAGTTCTTTGACACTTTGACTGTAAGATTCTATGAAAGGTCAAAATATGACTTATTAATTAAGCAGCATGGGCTTTACAAGCAGAAAGTGGCTGAACATGGTGTGAAGCCTTTTGAGCAGAATGTATCACATATTGGTTTTGCCTGTTAGTGGATGAAGATTGGGAGTGGATGGCTCTTCATGGGCAGGGCTCATTTCAGTTTGTGAGCGTTACCATCCTCTGCTCCCAGACAAGGTTAAGTTCTTAATTAACAAAATAATTTACAATCCTTCACTCACAACTTTCCACACCTCGTGACATATGTCACCTCAGCTATTAATAAATGAGATGCAACCAGTGCAGACAATAAAGCCAGTGTAGCTGCCATATAAAGGAAAAACATAAAAACCCCTCCACCAGCAGCAGCAAAGCCAGGCAGCCACACTCAGTTGTAAAAAGTGCTGCTAAACAGACCTGGCTTTTAACAGTTTCTGCCAACAAGTTTTAACAGTTTGCCTTTCCTGTCGTGTGACTTACGGTCACACCTCTCCTCCCTTTTCACTTCCTGAGAAGGAAAAACTTGGCCCTCTGAGCAATAATGAGGGTTTAGGACTCAGCACATCTGAGCTGAGCCTCTTCTCCATCCTATTTGTCCCATTGCTTGACACCGACTCACAAACAGGAGAGGCCCCAAGTCCAAACTCCTCCCCTTTCACACAAAGGACAGAGCTGAAGGGTGAGTAGAGCAAGTCCCAGTTGGGTAAGAGAGCCAAATCCTCGGATCCTGCCTTGCAGCCAAAGAGCTGGAGCCCTGAAGGAGCAGGGGAATACTGGGATGCTTCCTTAGCCTCTGAGCTGCTCCCTGCCTTTCCTTCCTGGAGCTTCCCTGCCCTCTGTGGGGCCTATGGAACACTGCACCTGGGAGAAGGCAGTTCTGGGAACAGTGAAGAAATGCACCTGGGGCTTGGCTTTGCCAACTGAAAGTCTGGGTTGTACACGGCATTTTAGGGGTTGGAAGGGCAGGGCTGCTGTTTTCTGACACGGACAGGACAGGCCTTGTTGATGTTCCTGTGCTCCAGCTCTGATTCCCGAGCATCAGCTGGGACCACTGGCCAGCTCCAGCCTGGAATGTGAGCAGGAACTGGCTGTGCTCTCGGGCTGCTCCTGCTCTGCTCTCTCAAGAGATGGATGCAGCCTCAATGCTAGGAACAGATTAGGCTTCAAATCCCTCTTGAGGTGTGGCTGTGGATGAAGGAACATCAGAACTGCTGCTCTGTGCTCACCAAGCCCCTGTTACTCAACAGTGTCCATCTCTTTGGAGATTTGCCCTCTTTCCCCCATGTATGCACATGTATCGTGCCTGTTTACCCATGCAAGCCTGAAGGCCTTGAAAAAACTGAAAGGTTCTCAGAAAAATTTATTTCCATAAATTAAAAACACACACAAAAGAAACAGTAAAATTTTAGATTCACACAATATTGAACAGAAACAAAATGCCAAGAGCATGATGGAGGCTAATGGCACAAGTGTACAGATTCTCATGGAGCTATTTGTTAACTTGATAGCATCATACAGATTTTCAATCCACAGTTACCATCCATATGCTAGAAAAGCACCTGGAACATAATATCCCAAAGGCCCACCTGAAATCCAATACAGTGAGAACTGCTTGCAGGAATTCACATCCAGCAATCATCAGAACTCCAATGTACACAGCCAAGAGGCCAGGCAGGCTAATGCTGTACCACACATTAGGGAGCCTCAGCTGCTCCAGTCATAGCATGATGAAAATAACATCTTTTTTTCTTGGAAAGTGATCTTTCTATCTCCCATAATCAGCAAATGTAGCAAAGAGCTGCCTGGCTCTGCATAACTTACTACTGAGAGACAGGACGTGGCAAAAGCTTTGCATCTTCTCAAGCTGCTCTGGTCATCACTCTGAGAGCAAAGATGTACAAGGTCTTTCCACGGTGATACAAAAAAGTCCTCATTGGAGTGGATTCACCTGATGAAAAGGCAAATGCCCATATCCTCCAGCTAGGGATGGAGGCAAGACCCCGAAAGATGCACCTCTCTCCTTTTTTCTTTCAGTTCTCTGTGACAGGAGCAGCTCAGAGTGGCTGATGCCCAGCTTTTGCCCAGTTCCCAGTCCCAGTGTGCCAGCAGCAGCTCCAGGGAGCAGCTGTTCCAGGAGTGCTGGAAACAGGAACAGAGGGGGGAAAGGAGAAGAGAAAAAAGTGCACAAGCACAACTGACACCTGTTTGCTGCTTGGTCTCCATTAGCTCACATCATCATACAGACACTGAACCAAAAGAGAATAATGCTGGATATTTGGGTTGCCACAAACTCAGGTCTGGGACAGGCTAAAGCAACTGCAACATTTTGTAACTCCTTCCATTACTGTAAACCAGAGAGAATTGAGTGTTCTCTTTGCTCTCTCTGCTGTAGCTTGTAGAAAGCAAGCTAAGAAATGTTCTTTCAAAGCAATCAGAGACAAGACAGAACAGAGAGGCAGATAAAAAACCCCCACCCCAAACAAACCAACCAATCCCAACACATTCCGTGTTTTGAAGTACATTAGAGGTCTGAACTTTTCCTGGACCCAAGTTTCTTCCCTCCCCACCCATATCTTTATTTCCTTAAAGCCCTCACTAAGGTTACAGCTCAGTTATGTCACAGCACTGGAAGCCTCCCATATTAATAGAAGGTGAATGAATGTTCTCCAACAACCCCATTCTATAGCATAAATCCATAAAAATATATCTCTCACTCTTGCTCCCACTTCCAACCAGTCCATAATTGGGCTAATAAACCAGGATAGGGAAAGTTTCAAACATTTTTTTTTTTTTAGGAGGCAGTCAACCTTTGTTTTTTAGGGATTTCTTTTTACAAAAATAAAGAGGATCAGTTAGAATGTTCTACAGCAGCCTAACAGCTTAACCAGAAAAATAGTACGTCAATATGTTCAAAGTTTGCCTGCCTTGTTACTTCACCCTCAAACTCCAAACCCTACTCCTCTACGTGTGCACTCCTCTCTTTTCTTCAGTCTTCCTGATTAAAGATTATAATTACCCTTAAAACCAAGAATGTAAACCTTTGGGAATCCCAGCACGTAAGCTGGGAGCAAAACCAACCCAGATTAGATTTCTTTCAAGACTCAGGCACACACAGTGTAATAATCCTCTTCCATTTCTCTACTTTGAAAGCTCTGAAATTCAACAGATTGCTTGATCATTTTTAGTTTTCTGTTTGGTCAGTAACAGAAGTGGTAGAGCAACAGAAGATACCATTATTATCTTCAGTCCTGCATTTACTGGGACTTCATAAAAAATACCCACCCACTAGATATTTGCTCAATTTGAAGGTCAATAGAAACTCTATTACATGGGCAGGTAAATAAGAAAGTGCAAGTTCAAGTGAAAGAAAGAAGAGACTAATTCAATTTGAGCATCCCAGGAATGACAGCTTTGCCTGAACAACTCCTCTAGGCACTAAGGGACAGAAATGACCTGAACTGCAGCTGGCATTCACCTGGAATGATGCTGCAAGCAAGGGAAACACAAGTTATGCCAGAAGGGAGCTCTCTTCCTTCCCAAGGTAGAGCTGAGAAATTGCCCAGAGCTGCACCAGGTGATGACAATTGGCCTCACATCAGAAATGTCCACGTGCCAGGAGGCTCTTGGTACAACCACTGTTACGGCCAACAGTGTGCACAGAGAGTACTCAGTGAAGAGCTACAGGAACTGTAAATCTACAGTGGTAAAAAACCCCTCGAGATGGAAAACACCATTTCTTGCTGACATTCAGATCCAGTTAATATTTTTTATAGGTTTAAAATAATTTAAAAGCAAGGCTCAAAGATTCTGCTGGTATTCTCTCCATGCAGCAGGTCAGTTAAACAGAAATCTCTGCTTATGTACCCTGCAGTTTAACATCCTCGTGGGCTTTTCCTCTGGAGAAGAGGTTGGCATCAGCCAAGTAAGTAAAAAAATCTACTATTTGGGAAAAAGTAATACTGGGCACCATTTTTCCTTAAAACATTACCCTTTTTTGAGTTTAATAATGTTAAAAGGTGTCCTCATGCACCAAATAAAGAAACATATACAAAGTGCAAGGTATATAAAGTCTAGTTATGTGGGGCTTCTGCTGCCTGAAGCCAGGAAGGGCACAGAAACTCAGAAGGAACCTTTTAAGTTAACAGAAGGAAGAAACAATTGAATGCAAACCCAGACAGCTACTTTAATTATTAAAAAATTAGTGGTATATCAAGAATTCACCTTTATCAAACACCGTATCACTTCTGTCAGGTTGTTCAAAATAGCCATTCCTTACAGTAACACCAGCAGACTCAAATGTGCAAATGATCTGGAGTACAGAGTTCTAGCATCACTGAAAGTGCACTACTTCCTCCTTTACACTCCTACTCTACCCCCAAAAGGTGTTCTAACATAATTAATTAAATATAAGCAGTATTTTCCAGAGGAAGGAAGGGTAAATTTTATGTGGCTGTGTTACACTCCAACAGGGACGTCAAAGAATCCCTCCAATAGCATTTAAAAAAAAATAAAAAACAAAAAATAGCACCTTAAAGAGGGTCACAGCCAAGAACTGATTATCAGATGTTAGAAGAGAGCAATGCATGAAGAGGTCAGTAGATTTCTCCCCAGAGGAAAATACTCCCGAGGCTGACTGGCCCACTCCCAGCTCGGTGGCTCCCTCAGCTGCTGGAGGCCTGCTCCTGCTCCTGCTGCTGCTGCTGCTCCTGCTCCTGCTCCTGCCCCTGCTCCTGCTCCTGCTCCTGCCCCTGCTCCTGCTCCTGCTCCTTCTTCTGCTCCTGCTCCTGCTCCTGCTCCTGCTCCTGCTGCTGCTCCTGCTCCTGCTCCACCTCCTCTGCAAAAAAGGCTTCAAGGGCCATCAGCTTCTCACTCAGCAGCACATCCAGCTCTGCGCTCTGCAGGGCAGCCCTCTTGGCTCGGGTGAAAGAACCCACTGCTTTGACTTTGCCTCGTGTCTTCCTTTTCCGGGGAAGGGTAAAGTCCTGGAACTCGAGAATGCGCTTTCTCTTCTGCTGGCTGACAGAAATCAGGTGGCCATTCTTCTCCTTGGGCTCTTCAAAGATTGTTTCCAAGCTCCTGGGAAAAGCAGAGAATGCTCATGAACACTCAAGCAGCAGCAGCAGCAGCAGCAGCAGCAGCAGCCCCCTTCCATGGCCAGGGACATGGGGGGATTTCACAAGCCAAGGAAACCTGCTTTAACTTTGACATCTTTACAGCCCCTCCACACCTCCTGTAAGGAAGATTATCCACAGCTTCCACCTCCTACCACTGCACGTTCCTGCCAGCTAATTCCTCCCTGCTGCAGAGACACTGGGGTAGAATCTCTAGCTGTATTTCAGCTCAGTTATAGAATCTTGACTTTATAGAATAACTAGGTTTGAACATTTGAGGACATTAATATTTTACTTGGATGGAGACTGGAATGAATGAGTAGGTGAAAAAAATATACAAATCCATGCTTAACCAGCTGCAAATTCTTAAGTTCATATTCTATTTTACTGCTTTCCATCCAAATAGTAAAGATACTGTTTTTGAATTAACTTTCTCTACCACTTTAAAGTAGAGCAATTTAAAAACCATATCTCTCTCTCAGCTTTCAGACACGTTTCATCTCCTCTCTCTCCCTCTGCCTAATTAATTTACATTCATCTTCGTTGTCTCATTAGGAAGCACAACCAACCTGGCTGGAGGAGGGGACTTGTAGTTCTTGTTGGTGTAAATTTCTTCTAAACTAAATTCTTTCTTCTTAAGCCTGAAAAAAGTAATGACAAATCAATCAAGAAAGAAGAATTTCAAACCCACTTTTCTTCCCAGTGAGCAGATTTATGAGAGACAAGTACAGGTTCTCTGCCTCAACGCTGAGTGATTGTGCTTTAATTGGGGACAGTGAGGAATGAAAAATGAGCTCATTAAGGACCTAATTTCATGCAGTGTTTTTATAAGGTCTGGATCAAGACTTGCCCTTGCTGCAGAGGTCAGTGTTCCTTCTAGCATTCTGGGATGCTTTGAAATAATGATGCTCAAAAGGAGAAGGGGAAATGCCCTCACAGGTCACTCTCTGGTGAAAGCTGAGAAAAATCTTCCAGTCTGACAGATCAACACTTTATTTCTCGAGACTCCTTTTAGTTACTGACCATTCCCAAGCTTGATCTCTGAAGAAATGCATTCCTGTGTCAAAGCTGCCACTTGTGTTTAGGACAAAAGAGAACAAAATACCGGATGACTGGCTGGAAAAGCTTTATCAACGTTTGGCACTGTGATTACCCTCACTTCCCTAAGATCATTTGTCATGAACAAGGAAGGAACTGCATCAACACACCTTTCCAAGTGATCACTTCATCTCACTGTGCACTGCAGAATGACTGATTTTTAATCTGTATTTATCAAAACAAACTTCTTTCTTCTTTAGAAAAACCATTCCACTGCAGTTTAGTTTTCCCCATTTTGGCCAAACCTCAGTGAGTGGCTGATACAGCTGACAGCAAACACCAGACCTCCCTCAGCTGGGGCTGGACAAACCAGTGATGATTGTACTCACAGGCAGCAAATGTAAGCAGCAGGAGCCTGTCTGAGTCCCTTTCATGACACTGCTCACCTTTTTGGTTTGGGCAGTCCCATGGGAGTAAGGTTAGTGTCCGGCTTGGGGACAGTTTTCCTGATTCGGATCTCTGAGACTTTCTTTGGCCTCTTTTCTGGCTCAGTCTTAAAAAAAAAGAAAGAAGGGGAAAAAAAAAAGTTAAAATGAAGAAAATTACCACCACACCAGTCAACAGGATTCCCTTTTATGCTGAGTATGTCTATATGCTGAGTATGATCTATTGTGCTATTACCTACACATTAAACACTCCTCTCTGGTTTGCCACCTTCTTTCTGCTTGAATCAAAGCAGCAGCACAGACCAGACCCTGCAGCCTGTTTTCTCCCCTCATCTTTAACAGTTACTGGGTAATATTCAGCAGCAGCAGCTTCAAATTCTGGAGAACCAAGAGTCTGAGAGACCTACAATATAAAATGAGCTCACTTTTTTCATTTCTGTGTCATCCTGGGATCTCAGGCAGGCTGGAACGGGAGCATCGGCTTCATCCAGGGCACGGACCTGCAGCTCGGCCGCTGAAAGCCTGGGGGGGCTGGCGGCGACTCTGCAGGTGTGGGAGGCTTTGGGAACGGGAGTGGGAGTGAAGCTTCCAGGCTGGAACAGAGCAAGAAGGGGACACATGTAGATTAATACCCAGCTGACACTGCAGAGCATGCCCTGCTCTGTGATGTTCCTGCATTCAATATGGGCACGAGAAGCAATGCAGTTCAGACACTGCCCCCAGTGCTGCAGCCACACTGCTACTGACACAAACTCAACTGCCAGAGCATCTGAACACGTCATTTTAAACTCACTCCTTTCCTATAACTGGTTCACAGCTCTGTTTATCAACTACTGATAGAAAGGGATTAATTACATTTTCTACCAGCAAATTTCTAAGACACAACTATTAATCATACTTTCTATTTACAGATAAACTTAAAATACAGCTCTTTTATCTGCCATGCCTACACTGAGAAAGAACAGAAGGAAGTTTCAGCACCAAATGTCCAGTCGCTCAGGCAGGAAGGACATGGATCAAGTAAGGAACCCAAACTTCTCTAGTTTCACATACTCATTTCATACAAAGTGGCACAACGTGCTTGAAAGCACCACAACTGTTCTGTGCATTCAGGCTCCTCCACTCCTCTCCATTACACCATCCAGGCAGGTCACTTCACTAACTGTTTAATCACAAAGCTGTTCTTGCAGTGAACTGCCAAAAGCTGAAAGCCAAGATGGCACCAGCAATGGCTCTCTGAGAAAGCTCAGGATCCCTCAGGATCCCTCAGATAAACGTCCCCCACCTCAAGACTCACCGTGTGGCACCTGCAGTCTGCAGTGCTGCCATGCTCTGGGCAGGGAAGTGTGGGAACATGGCATAGCTGCTTCGAAAGGACAACGAGAAAACAAAACAAAACAAAACAGAAATTAGGTCTACACCATAAAATAGATCGAGGGAAAGATTATTAGTATAAACTGGACTGTAAGACAAAAGATACTCTCATATCAGGGATGAGAATGAAAGACTAAAATGATAGAAAAGATAGATATATCTGCCATTTAGGCCATTAAATTTCATTGACAGCTTGTTACGGAAATAGTTCTACTTTTGCTTAAAAATGGTAGTGATGAGATAAGGAGTTAAAAGTACAGAAGAGAGGGAGACAGCAGTACTGAAAGTCTTAATTATTTCTATGTAATTACTGAAGTCTAAAAGTTGAAATTATTTCTCTGAAAGTCTATATTCCTTATTTAACCCCCCCAGTTTTTAAAGTAACCAAAAACCTTGAAGGATTTGGCTACTAAATAAAAAAAAGTGCATAACGGCAACAGTGCCAAGTGAAAGGAAGTATTTCCATAAGATTAACTCCCTGTTGTCTCCAACTCCCACAGCCTTGAATACTCTTTAATGGATTGGAATCACCAAAGGGCTTTCCAGAAGGCTTGGTAATTACCATCGTTCCATGGCACGAAAGTCCTTTGATATTAAGCTTTCCTTTTGTGCCCATACTATTGCCAGCAGGAAATCAGCTGGGACAGCTCTTATGGCATTAAACAGCAAATCTTGTGCTCTCAAATCCACTGCTAAATGCACTTTGCTGCTCTGAAACCCAGCCATGCTGGCAGCACAGGGAGGTCCAACCAGCTCTAGAGAAGGTGGTCAGAAAGACCCTTTCCTTGTGTTTTTCATTTCCATCAGAACTGGAACACTTTATTTCTCTCACTGCCCCACTATTCCAACACTGCTGGAACCTGTCTTGGTAGTGCAGCAGAGCCCTCTGGGACAGAGGCAGAGCTCACTGTGTTATGCAATAATAACAATAATAATAATAAATTACAAGAAGACACAAAAAAACCCTTTAGAAATATTTAATCTAAATAAGCATTAATTAGAGAAAAGACTTCATTTAAAAAATGCTTTATTATTGGCAGTGGAAGTGACAGAAGATTATTTTTAGGCAGGAGAACTGCTCTAGTTCCTTGTTCTCTTGGTTATTAAAAACACTATGAATTAAATAATTTAAAGAGAAAAATCTTTTCCAGAAGAAAATGGCCTGCAGGGAACTTTTTAATTTTTTTCTGATTTTTAACTATCTTAATCAAAATAGGCAAAGATTTCTGTCATACTGGGAGCTGAAAATGCTTTTAGACTGCACCAAACACACTTCTTGTATTTACATACCAAACATTTATTTCATGATTTTCTCTGAGTACACACAAATTTAAGAGAGATTTACTGAATTATCTTTTTGTCACTGTTCCTGTTAATAACTTAAGAATTATTAGTTGATGAGAACAGGCAAAATGGAATCTAAAAAGGTGTTAAATATTCAAAATGTTAGGTTTTGTTCTTTATGTTGTTTTATAGCCAAACCTTTACTATTCAGTTTGATTTAGAAATAGGATTTATTTGCTGCACTTCTTTAAACTTTAAACTTTTCAACTCCCCACATGCTACAGTAACTTCACTTTGAAGGAAATACGAGCGGGGCAGGAGAATTAAGGCTGCCTCACACACATTTTTGTAAGGTATTTTGGAGAAAAAACAAAGGGAGTTTCAGACTATTTGAACTCTAGGTTCTTTTCCACTTGAAGTGAAAAGGTTTGATTTAAATTCTCTCCCTTTGGGAAGAAGTTCATTCATAGCAAAACATGCAGTTTTCAAACGACCCTTCATGTCAGGAACGAACTCGTCCTACACTCCCAGTCCAAGGACAAGCCTCAGCAACACCAACCAATCCATTCACCTCACACACACAGGTAAGTTTTAAAAAGGGGGTTGTTTTGGTTTTAACAGTGTGTTATTTTTAAGCTTAGTGCTCAAACTGTACTTCTCTGATAAGATTATTCCAGAGCACTCATTTGTTCATCAGAAAATTCAGCCTGATAAATTGACTCATCTGGAATCAAAAGAGAAGCAGGTCCCACAGAATGTGCTGAGAGTTGTCCCTATGCCATTATTCAATTTATTTAGTGCAGACAGCTCCCAGAATGGGGCAGCACTTCCATAAGCTCCCTCACACCTTTGGCAGACATTAGAATTTATATTAAACTTTTAGGTGTGTTTATAGAAAGCAAAGTGCAGCATTCGTTGTCTGGCAGGATTTTTGGTTACACTTATGTCAAGCTGTGGCATAAGAGAAATTCAGCAGTTCAGAGTGCCACACTAATCAAAGGAATTCATCAAAGGCACTTTGCTGCAGGGCTCAGGAGCCTTTACTCTGCCCAGGAATAAAACCAAGGGGGAACTGCCCCATGTCACTGGGAGATAAAGGGCAGAGCTCTTTGCTCAAGAGCATGCAAAAGTCCTGTGACAGAGCAAGGAACCTCTTCTTCATTCTGTTTATTAGTAAAGTGATTTAAATGCTGACAGCAAAGTCAAATTAAATATGCAAAGTAGATTTCAGTCCTCTCCCCACTCATAACAAGAACGACACACACAGAAAAATTCATTACCAACATGAACTGCAGCTACATTTGTGTGTGACAATACCAGGCACCCACTGTCAGAAGGTATAACATGCACAGAGATTAATTAGCACAGAACAGTCACAGAATACAATTAAAAATTTAACTGAATGGAACTCCCCCCTCCCCTTCCAATTCTTCCTAACCTGATATTGAGCATTTTAGAGTTGGTTCCAAGTGGCACTGGTGGCTCAGACCTCTGAAAAAAACTTTCCTACCTCCGAAATCCAGTTGCTCTGCAGTCACTCTGAATAGACCTAATGAAGTAGCTCACCTTTTGCATTATATACTCTGAGGCATGGTGTGTATATTTTGCAAGGGAGAAGAAAATAGAGTTAGCCATTCTGCCAAAACAGGACAGTATTAAAGAAGCGAAGGCAAATATATTTCAATTCAGCTAACAGACTGTTCTGCAGGACAGAATCTTCCACGTTGAGCCATTCTCGGAGCAGAATGCGTAGATTTGGAACGGGGGAAACTGCCCCTCCAATGCAAGCTGCGATCACCCTCTCCCTCCCAAAAAGGAGCCAGTACATACCCTGCACAGATTTAACCTCAGAAAGAAGTTGATGGGTTTTACCTGTTCTCGATGCCCACACTTGGCTGCCACTTGCAGTGATTGGGATGGAGAGGAGGGATTTCGGAAGGACGGGCAGAAGGACCGTGCTGGCTCCATATGGAGAGGACCCTGCCCAGGGAGTATGGCAATGAGGAGGCGAGGTCAGCGGGCACACAGCTTGGATACCTTGCCCCTTTCAAACCCTGTGCCAGCTGGGATATAAATAGTCTCTGGATGGTAGGAATGGGACTGCTTAAGTTTCTTCTTCTTGTCCAAATCCTGTAACATCCAGGGGAAGAAAGTGCTAACACTGTGTGAAGGCCAAGCCTGGAACAACCTCCTCTTCTCTCAGCTACAGCGTTTCTTCCAGGGTCAGGATGAGGAGCCACAGTCCTTGGGGTCGTTACAGAGTGAGCAGAACCAAGCTCAGTATTTAGAGCAGAATCTTCCTTGAAGGCTGTCGTATCTGAACAGCTTTGGGACAGGAGAAAAGACCAAGTCCACTTGGAAGCTGGCGCTGGTGTTTCTCCAGAAGCGGGCCCGTGATGTCCAGAGTGCTGGGATGTAATCCCTGGGAGGTCTGTCACGGGACTGGAGTCCAATTTGATGTGGAAAGAAATCGGGAAAACTGGGGTGTCCGACAAAGAGGTTGGAGGCTTGTGGCTTAAGTCTGAAAAAAGTATTTTGGTAGTTTCTACGGGATAAAGTGCCAATGGCTGAAAGCTGAACATCTTGGTGCACCAACTGCCAGCCCAGCGTGAGTGAACGTTCCTGTTAATGCAAGAAAAGGCTTCCAAGAGATTTTTCGATCTCTGGTGGCTGTACCTGTCACCCACAGGAAGCATTTCAGAGGAGTATGGCCGAGGTTGGAAGTCACAGACGCCCTTGGCAGGGGCCAGGAGCTTGCTGGCCATGGCAGACAACTTGCTCAGCAACGCTGGCTCTTTGGTACATTTCCGAAATTTCAAGCTGTTCAACAACCTGCCCCTCCTGGCCCTCTGCCCTCCTGGCACAGGAGCAAATCTCAAGGCTGTTTCCCTTTCCTTTGCCGATGATTTACATGGAAAGTACAAAGATTCCAGAGGTGTGTTTTCCTGCTTGGGGAATATTTGCAGGGGTAACTCGAAGATAGGTGGACTTCTGGTTGTTCTGAGTTTTCTAATGGTTTTTAGCTGATGCAATATGGGAACCTTTTTGCACGTCCTTCCAGGTTGTATTCTTAGTGGAAGAGGCCCTCCTAGTTTCTTTGTAGTTCCTCCTAGTTTATTTGTAGTTCCAAAGGCACCAGGGATTCCATCATACCCTAAATTAAGGTTCAGGTTTTCCATTTCTGAATCCTGAGTCTTCAAAAACTGTGAACTAATAATATCTGTGGTAATCTTTGGCCTTTTAACTTCTTGTAAAGTGCTACATAGTTTACTTTCACTGCTTCTGACAGCAAAAGTCTCCTCTAAAGGACCTTCAAACTTCTTATTTCGAGATGTCACCAACTCATTTGAAGAGCTGCCTAAGAGTTCAGAACTGTGCAACATGCTGGGTGTGATTTTTGCTTTCTCTTGGTGGGCCTGGTCTGACTGGATGCACTTCTATCTTTTCATACTTCTTTTGTTTAGTTACTTGATGCTCCTCTATTTGGTGGAGTCTCTTTGAACCTGAAGCCTCGTTCTCCTGGCAAAGCGCACGAGCTGCTGCTGTGTCCTGGCGCTCCGTTCCCTCCTGTCTGCTGCTCCGTGCTCCGTGCAGCTGATCTGTAAGGCACCCGTGCTGCCCTGCAAACCCCCCAGCCTGGGCATGGCCCTGTGCCCCTGGCTGACGGGGAGCTCAGAGGAGGGGGGAGCGTGGCTGGTGGATCACCCTGCAGTCCTGGGGAAGCCCCTGCCTCAGACACAGCCTGGCAGTCCTGCAGAGCTGCTGAAAGCACGCGGGTACCCGCTACGTTTGGGAGCTCTCCATCGCCGCTTCTTTCGTTTGAAACATAGTTTAGGTTGGATCTTGGGATCTCTTCCAAAACCTTGCCGTGGTTCTCAGCACCGAGGGGGACTATTTTGCCACCGGACTCTTTAGAGTCTTCTAACGAGGCCCATGGATGACTTCTCAGCAACTTTTTTCTAGGGGCTATTTCTTCTCCCAGCTTCTCTTCTACACATGTATTTTTAAACTTCTCTTCACAGGGAGGACTTTTTGGTGAGGTCCCATCCATGTCAGTTGGTGAGCAGTGCCCCTCACCTTTCAGGCTTTCTTTGCTGTGGGCACAAACCCTCGAGCTTTTTGCCCCAGTCAGGGAGCCTGCTGCCATTTCATTCTCTGAAGAGGGAATCTCAATATTGCTGCATTTCCTCTTAACAGAAATTATTACAGAAAGAATTTTTGTCATTGAAGAATCTTTGCTGAATTTTTTGTCTGAAAACAAGTTCTCTCTTTGTTCATTCTCAGGTGACATACAGGTTTCTTTCTCAGGCAGAGTGATGCCACAGCTCACAGCTGACTGTGTTTCTGAATCCACCTGAGTCTTATTGAAAGGTTCTTGGATGTCAAACTTTCCAGAGTGGGATGGACCAACAGCCCTTGGAGCACTGGTTTCTTTACCAGGCTCAGACATTACCTGTGGGCAAGTGTTACTTAAGAGAGGTTTTATGCTCAGACTTTCTCTGTGTTCTGTATCTGAAAGCTCATTCGTATTTTCTGGCTCAGATGTATTTTTAAACTTCTCTTCACAGGGAGGACTTTTTGGTGAGGTCCCATCCATGTCAGTTGGTGAGCAGTGCCCCTCACCTTTCAGGCTTTCTTTGCTGTGGGCACAAACCCTTGAGCTTTTTGCCCCAGTCAGGGAGCCTGCTGCCATTTCATTCTCTGAAGAGGGAATCTCAATATTGCTGCACTTCCTCTTAACAGAAATTGTTACAGAAACAATTTTTGTCATTGAAGAATCTTTGCTAAAAACTTTGGCTGCAGATGGCTCACAATTCTCTCTTTGTTCATTCTCAGGTGACATACACAGCTGTTCTTTCTCAGGCAGAGAGATGCCACAGCTCAGAGCTGACTGTGTTTCTGAATCCACCTGAGTCTTATTGAAAGGTTCTTGGATGTCAAACTTTCCAGAGTGGGATGGACCAACAGCCTTTGGAGCACTGGTTTCCTTACCAGGCTCAGATATTACCTGTGGGCAAGTGTTATTTAAGACAGGTTTTATGCTCAGACTTTCTCTGTGTTCTGTATCTGAAAGCTCATTTGTATTTTCTGGATTATATAACATGGATGTCCCATGGATTGATGAGATGGGTAAAAATTGGGCACTAACTGTATTTTCCTGGTCCTCCACCAATGACTTCATCTTTGGCAAAGATGGCTGTGTTTTGTTTCCTGCAAACACCAGCTCTGCTTTCTCCTGTGCAGGTTTGGTACAACAGTGCTGTGAGCCACGTGCTTCGCTCTCAGAAGAGCAAAGGAGTTCCTTTCCAGTCTGTTCTTCAGGAGTTCCTTCCCTGCCTGTTTCACAGTCATCCTCCTGCTCTTTTGGTTTGATTGTCTTCTCTTCAGTTAGATCATTGATGGAGCCCACGTATCCTGAACAGTCTTTATTTCCCACACCAATTACAGAGTCCAAATTCTCTACATTCTCTTGCAGAGTTCCTCCCAGCCTGTCTTCTCTTGTGTATCTGTGCATTAACAGAGGCAAGTCAGCCCCTGCTTTCAGCACTACCTCGTCCCCCACACTAGAGCCAGATTCACTTTCCTCCTCAGAGCTGTCTGTAGTTTGTAAGCCAGGCTTTGCTTGGTGGGGTGAGGTCTCTGAGCACAGCTCCCTGCCTGGCCCTGGGCCACCCAACTCCCTCGGACAGCCGTGACCCCGGTTCTCCCGTGGGCAGAGGGTGGGCTCTCTGTGGCTGGCACGCTGTGCTGGGATGCTCCCGCTGGCAGGTGCTGGACATGCAGCACAGCCTGAGGTGCTGCAGTCTGAGGGATCAGCTGGGAGCGAGGGCACTTCCCCCTGCTCCTGGGTGCCCAGAGAGCTGCGAAATCCAAAACTGTGAGCACAGGTGGTTTTGTCCAAATATCTGGCTAATAACTGTTCACTGCTCTGATTTCCCTGATTGCCTTCAGGGGCGTTTGGAGAAGCCACAGTTCTTGTTCCATCACACTGCTCTCTCTGGGAAGCACACGCGCCCTTCTGTTCCTTTGCCTCGTCTCTGTCACAAACAACTTCGCTGCCTTGGGCTACTTCACAAACATCGAACAGTTTCACAACCTTCATATTCTTATTTGAAATCTCATCTCTTGCCAAGGTAGCAGCAGACTTCTCTGCAGTATAAGCTGAGCAAAACCTGGGTTTTCCTATGGGAATGTCATTTCTCCCATGCAGAGCTACAGCTCTGTAGCCCCAGTCATCTTCACAAGGAGGAGATCCACATGCCAAAGGAATGCGTGCTTCTGGAGAAATGGCTGCCTCTTGACTATTATATCCAGTTGAAGACTCTCCTCCTGAATTACCGTGTTCTTCAATCTTCTTATCCACATCAACAGAATGACTGTTCAGGAAAACTTCACCCACACGTGCACTCCCTGATACAATGCAGGAAGCACTGGCAGCTGGACTCTGGTCTTTCATACCATGATTACTACAATGCTGTGTGTAATAATGTTCATTTTCTAAACCAGTGCCCACTCTCTGCAGATTCCCTGCAGATTCCATGTCCTTTTGGGATACTCTGTGTGCCATATTAGGGTCATAAAAAGTCCTGGAACTCACTGAAGACTTGAATTTGTCTTTATGAAGCAAAACTGCAGTGACTTGTTCCCCTGTTGTTCCAGAAGCACCAACAGTCTCTTTTCCAGACAGATTATCCCAACCCTTGTCCCTGTGTGAAACTTCATTAGCAGTACAAGGACACTCATTATGATGAGGTTCTCTTGATTTTTGCAAAATAGGAGGTAGATTTACATTTAGTGTATAAAACAAATGTGTTTCTTTCCCAGTGGACAAACTGTCACTCCCATCAGCTTCTGCAGCTTCAGCTACACCACCAGCCAGCCCATCTGATGTTGTATTGCTCTCAGAGTCCTTTGCAAGCAGTTGTGCCTTGGGTGGATCTTTTTCTTGCTTGCTACTAAGGTCAAGACAGCTGTGATGTCTGGGAGGAGGAATTTTCTTGGAGGTATTGTAAGAGCTCGTGTCTCTCTCTCCAGTTCCACGGGAAGCAATGTTGCCTGTTTCCATCAACAGACTATTTTCTTTTATACCATCCTTGCACAGGTCACTGAGAGAGAATTGCCACTGGTCCTTTTTCAACTTCTCAGCTTCTGATGGGACTCTTTGAAATTTTTCCTTTGAGAACTCCTCAGGAAATGAAGCAGCAGAACTAAAAACTGAAGAATGACAATGCTCAACACCCTGCGGAGCTTCAGGCCGGCTCCAAACTTCCATGTTATCTCCCACAGCAATTTTTCTCCTGACTTCAGCAGACTCTCCAAACTGAGAGCTGTAGGATTTACCTATCCCAGCACTGAATTCCCTAGGATCAGTTTTAGCACTAGATAATCCTTTGTTCCTCACTGCTGGGATCTGCTCTACTGGCACGGATGTGGAGCTTCGGCTTCCTACAAAGCCGGTTCCGTGATCGTAACGAGTGTGACGTTCCACGTGTTGGGGAAGATACTCTGGGGGGGGTTCATTGATAATTCCATGAACTGCAGCACTGCTGTTTTCTACTGGCATATTTCTGAAGTCCAGACAGGAGCTGCTTTTCAGAACTGGACAGAAAACTCCCGAACTGGCTGTGGACGATGTCCTGCAGCTCCCTGCTGAGGACAACCCACAGGAGTCATTCTGTCTGGGTACAGCACCCTTACAGAAGTCACGAGCATCATGTTCTTCATCCTGCTGACAAGTCTGGCAATGAGCAAGTGATGCACTGAATTCATTGACAGGATTTCGTGTGGGTAACTTTTCTTCTTCAGTCTCCAAGGCAGACACGCCACTCCCCCCTGCTCTCGTGGCAGTGTGGGCTTCCAGCCCAGTACAGTCATCTGTTTCTTGGGGATGGTGTGTGGCTGCTCCAACGTTCAGGACTCTGAAAGGCTCTAAAAAATCTAAGATGCTGGTTTGTGTAACCCCAGCTCTGGCCAGGACTGTGTCTACATCTGGGCATTCCTTGCTCTCAGCTGGAAGACCTTTCCTCACTCTGTCACTCCTGTATCCTGCTTTACTAAACATCCTAGTCCCATCAGCCTTCATACCTTGTACTTCTTCGGGGAGCTTTGGCAGAGTTTCAGCTGTCACCTGAACATTTGCTTGGTTTTCCTCTGCATAAGAAAAGATAAAGCAAATCAGAACCATACCCTGAATTTGGAAGGCATTCAGCTTAGTCCCTTTTGGTGCTGTGACAATACTGCAGTGTCAGGGACCAGGATGTTTCTAACAGGGAGGAATCCTTTTCAATACAGACATTCCCAGGAGCATTCCAAGAGCTGGGGATTTCAGATTCTTTTAATATCGAGCCAGGTGCTTGCAGGTCCTGTAATTTAACACACAGGCCACCAGCATAAAGCTTATTTTTCACATCAAAACTCAGCATAGCTGGGGACTTGATCTGCTCCAGCCTAGAGAGATGGTTGGGCATTGAGTGGCCATTTCCATTTCTTCCTCCTTGGAGACCTTTCTGGCAGTGACTCATCCAAAGGAACACAGGGCATATCTCATCTGTCCAAGCCATTTGGATTATTAATAAACTTCTTTTGTAAAATCACAAAGAAGGTGCTAACTAGAGAATTACAATTACTGAAGAATGTCTTCATATTCAAAACTTTACAGAGAACGTTTTTTTCTCAAAATTCTGCAGATCTTTTCCAGATTTTCTAGTAAGGACCAGATTAAGAAAGAGGGAGGGAGAAAGAAAATAAGTACTAGATGCAGGCAAAGTGACCAAAGCATTTGGAGCTAGAAGATTCTGGAGGATTATACTGAAATTAAGATTTAGTTGTCTTCTTCCTTTGGATTCTGCACTTTTAATTTCATTTTTTAAACCATTCAAAAATGACTAATACTTTTCCATGTATTTGCTATTACTGCTCTCATACAATCCAGCTTTGAAACAAAAAAAAAAAAAGAAATGCAAAATATCTGCTACTGGCACCCCCTTCTGCTTTGGGGTAAATAATTACTTGAATTAAATAACTAAAATGCATCTTGTATGGAAAAGGTCTCCAGAAAAGTACCTAATGCTACCAGGGCAAAGCAAAGCTTTAAGGTTTGGTGTTGTTATAGCTATGCAGGGAAATACTGTAAAACAAAACCAATGATCCATCCCCAAACCAGTCATATCAACTCTAAATCAACGAGGAGTATCTGGGAGGGAAGCAGGGGGTAGAGAGGGATGTACAGCTAAAGTAGCTACCTGTGCTCCTCAGAGATCCTGCAACCTCAGTGTAATGGGCTCTTGAAGGCTTTGCCTCTTGCTGGGCGAAGGGAAGGTCCTCCTGAAACAAGACAAACGTCAGTGGGGTGCATGGACAGATGGGCTTCTGACTGTGCCGTGTCTGGGGACTGCACCTGCTCAGCTGGGTGAGTTCAGGAACAGCAAATCACCAGGAAACCTCTGGACAGGCCAGCCTTGCACAGAGCCTGGCGCACTTCCCACCAGCACTTGTCATTCCCTCCTCAGCCTCTCGGTGCACACCGAGAAACGAGGACCATCCACAGAACATCTGCGCTCACAGCACTGAGCTCCTGGGGCACAGGCAGCCAAAATGGCACTAAAGGGCTTCAAATGCAAGTTGTTGAAAATCTGAATGAGCAGAGTAACTCAACCTGCAGGTGTGTCTCAGCACCACCCTGCACCTCTGGGGAGATGGGAGCATTTTCTGGCTGGTTTGGAACTTGCCTTTACCAGCCCTTCCCTGGGCTCAAAACCACAAACCCCCAACAGACGACCTCGGTCTACTTGCAAAAAAAACCCCAAAACAACACCCCACAACCAAACTTAGAAAGATGTAAAAATTCATCTTGGAAAACTGAAGGATTGTGGAAAATTTATTTCATTTTATTTTCACAAATTTTCAAAAAATCAAACAGCTTTCAAAATTCGGAATTAAACTCACAAATTACTTTAGCATTAAGAAAAACCCAGTAATTAGAGTAAAACACTTATCCAGGTATTTCCTGGCTGGTATGTCTTCAATCCCAATACATTTTTTCTCCCCTGTGTGCTTTGGTGTATGTGAAAAATATTTACAAACTAAAGAAAATTATCAAGGATGTCCCTAAAAATCTCGGTTTTTAAATAGAGTTTCGTGACTCCTCAGTTTTGAATAGAAAATCCTCTGGCATATTTTTCAGCAGCTTTAACCTAGAAATAACCTTTTTTATCATCAGTGTTTGCTAAAGGGGAGAAGAAAAAAAGCCATAACACTTTTACTCTTCTGAAAGAGTAAACCAACAGCGATTTCCTCTGTAATTGCAAACAATAATTCTAAGCCCCAAAACTGAAATGCTAAACTGGAGCCCTCTGTGGCACTCTAATTCCAGTGCTGGCCTGAGGTAACTGTTATTTTGTGGTCAGTGCCTTGGCTGGGGTGGCAGCACCACTCCAAAATGCTGACCCACAGAACACCTTTACTGGGCAAGGACAGTCTGAGTTGTTTCTCTTCTCCTTTCCAGTCACTGCCAGTTTTGTTCCTTGTTCTGTTCCAGACCTGCCTCACACCCTTCCAACAGCACTGAGCAAAGTGACTCCCCTGATGGTTTGAAATGCTGCTGGTCTGCTGAGGCACAGCCTCGTTTTTCCCTGGATCCACGATAATCCAAATGCTGACACACACCCTGCAGGTGTCCAAGGCCAGGCTGGATGGGGCTCTGAACACCCTGGGCTAGTGGAAGGGTCCCTGCTCATGGCAGGGGGTGCAACAAAATGATCTTCAGGGTCCCCTTCCAACCCCAACCAGTTATGACAAACACCAGAAGACACAGAAGAAAACCACGAAACCCTCTGGCCAAAGCCACTGCCTGGTGACTGACCCTGAATTCAAGATATCACACAGGGATTCATTTTTGCCTTTGCTTACTTGTTTTGAGCAAGTTTCCCCTGGAGTGAAAGCAGAGCCTTCAGCATGGTGGTCCTCAGCACCTTGGGCCTCTTCATCTTCTTTCTGGCATCCATCACTGGAACAGTCCACTTTCCTGAAGTGTCTCTTTTTGCTATTTTCATTCCCCTCAAGGTCCCCAGGCTGCAGCAATTCCTCAGGAAGGGATTCTGCTGGCCTGTGAGAAACCACCTCGAGCACATCCCCCAGATCCTCCGTGTTCTGGCAGAAGTTCCCTGCTCCCGAAGTCCAGGGAGCGTCCCTGTGTGTGAGCACAGGCCCCGAGCCCTCAGGCTGTGCCCCCAGTCCCAGGGCAGGTCCTGGCACTGCCATGAGCTCCGTGGAGACGCTCCCGGGCAGCCCAGGGTACAACTCCAGCACAGCAGCCCCGGGAGAATCCAAGAGAGACTCCAGCCCAGCTGAGAGCATCAGGGCAGCTGAGGATTGGCTGTCCTGAGCTTTGCAGTTTAGCCTAAAAATAAAAGCAATGTTACATCAACATTTGCAGGGAAATCCCAGAATATCCTGAACTGGAAGGGACCCACAAGGATGGCTGAGGTCCAACTCCTGGACTACATTAAAAACAGTTCAAGCCTCAACCATGTATGTTTAAGAAAGGTTCTTCCACACAGGTTTTTAAGGTACTTCCAAAAATATTTTTAAGGTACTCCCAAAAATATTTTTAAGGTACTTCCAAGTATGTTTTTAAGAAAGGAGCTGAGAAACCTTTGGGTATTTAAGGAAATGCTTTACAAACAAAAGAGCCGAGTATGGACAAACAGACATTCCCAAGGCTTGTTTTCACATTCTAACATCTCCCTACAGATTTAACCTCATCTCCTGAAAAACCTGGAAAGAGGCTACAAAGCAAATCACGGGACTTGTATCAGACATCCTGCTCCTTCGCTAAAGCATCGCTCGTGTTCCTGGGATCTCGTAAGTTTCTAATCCTTGGGGAAAAGAATCCCAATTTTTCTTCACGTTTCTGCCTTAAAGGAACACTTTCCAAGGCATCACCCTCACACTGTGCCCCGCACCTCCTGACGTGCGGGGAGTGCCTTGTGCGGGCACAGCCCCGGGGTCGGGACCCCTGCAAGCCCCCAAATAAACACCGCGGAGGCTGCGGGGGAGAGGCAGGGGAGCCCCGGCCCTCATCCCCACTCCCGGAGCCAGAGCAGCCCGGGCACAAACAGCTGTCACCGCATCCGCCCGGGGGGACCCGCAAGGCCACCTGTCCCGGGAGCCGATCCCCTCCCCGAGTCCTGATCCCCCCTTCCCGGGTCCTGATCCCCTTCCCGGGTCCTGATCCCCTTCCCGGGAGCCGATCCCCTTCCCGGGTCCTGATCCCCTCCCCGGGTCCTGATCCCCTTCCCGGGTCCTGATCCCCTTCCCGGGAGCCGATCCCCTTCCCGGGTTGGTCCCAGCCCGAGCCGCGGGCAGGGCCGGGGCGGCCCTCGTCCTGTCCCCGCTCCGGTACGCCGGGGGTCCGCGGCAGCGCACGGGAGGAGCCGGCGCCGCCGGTAATTGCACCCCGCCGGTGTCCGCCCGGTGCCGGCAGGGGCGGGCTCGGCCCCGCACCGCCCCCGCCGCGCCCGGGCAGGGCTGGGCGCCGGCAGCCGCTCGCCCCCCGCTGCCCGCCCTGGGCCGGCGCTGTGCGGAGGCGGCCCCGCCGCGAGTCCCGGCCCCGCCCCGGCCGGCCCCGCCCCCCGTTACCTGAGCGGCGGCGGCGCCGCGGCCCCGCTCCGGCCCGCCCGGCCCGCCCCGCGCGTCACTTCCGCATCCGGGGCCGCCGCGCGCGCATGCCCGCGGGGACCGCTGCGGCCCCGCCCCCAGGAGCGGCCGCCACTCCCCCGGCCCCGCCCACCCCACGCGGGGGCGTGGCCCGCTCGTCACGCGCCTTCCCGCGTCCTCGGCGGTGTCACGTGACGCGCGGCCCCGGACGTGGAAGCGGCGCCCGGACGGTGCCGCCGCCCCGGGGGGACACGGACCCGCAGGTGGGGACACGGACCCGCAGGGGGGGACACGGACCCGCAGGTCAGAACCGCCCCGGGAGCGCCGCGCACGGTGATCCCGCCGCGCTGTCCCGCGCTGTCCCGGCCCGCCGAGCGGCACCGGGCACTGAGGCGTCCGAGCTCCCCCCGGCCCTTTCCCCCGGGGCTCTGCGCGGCCGCCGCGCTGCTCGCCCTGCGCTACCGCCCGCTGGCCGAGGGTCGGGGCCCCGGCGGCCTCCGTCGGTGCTCCGGCACGAACTCGCTTGGCTGCTCTCGGTCACTTAGAAACAAGCAGCCCAAGGGCCGCAGCGGTTCCGGTGCTCTCCGGAGGTGCTTTCTGGCAAATCTCCCTGCACCGAGCGGCGTTTCTTGCCATCAGCTCCAAGTTTGAAAGTTCATTTTAACGAGTTTTGAATGTACGGGGTTTTTGTCCATTGCGACAGAGTAACGCAAAGAGTGCTTTGGACTTGGCTGTTCGCTGTCCTTGCCCAGCGCTCCCCTCTGCCGGCCCCGCTCTGCCGCGCCGCGGGGACAGCGGGCTGTGCTCACGCACAGAACACACAGAGCGGCTTTGTACTGACAAGAGGGCTGTGTTTGCTGTTATTTCCTGTCAGATATGCGAGATGCCTTCAGCTGTCTCTGCTCGAAGCAGCTGAGAAGAGCTGGAGTCCAAGATGAGAACCAACAAGGTGTACAAGCTCGTCATACACAAGAAGGGCTTTGGAGGCAGTGGTCAGTATCTCCTGGTTTGCAACTTGAGACCAGCGCTCACCTCACTGAAAGCAATTGATTGATAAGTTACCTCTTTGACAAAACACTGAAGGTGGAACTAAGATGTAACAAGCAGTGTTGCCAGCCAGAGTTTGGAAACTCTTCCCCTTTTGTTGCATCACTTTTTTTTTAGCCCTGTGTTTAATCACCTTCCTAAGTGACAGACATGTCCATGACCTGACTGCAGGTGGATGTGTTCCTGTGCACTAATAACTGTCCTTGGTTTGACTGCCCCCTGCTTCTAGACTTACATGTGCTGGTAACTCCTGTTCAGGTTTCTGGCTGTCTGCTCTCCTGCTGGTGTTTGTTACATGAAAAACAGAGAAGGTGATCCTGGCTGCCCAGTTAAGGCACATTCTCTTGCTGAACACGCCCTCGGTGCCAGTTCTGTTGTTTGAGCTGTTTGTGCCAGTGAGGGTGGCCAGGCTGGGGGGGCTGTCCTGGGGTGAGTGTAAAGCCTTGCACGTGGAGCCTGGGCTGGGGTGTTTGTGTGGGGTGAAGTGTTGTGTGCAAACAGGCAGGTGTCTGTATGTGGTGTGTGTTTGCTCAATGTCCTCACTTGTTTGTGTCTTGTAGATGATGAACTGGTGGTGAATCCTAAAGTATTCCTTCAGATCAAGCTGGGAGATGTTGTGGAAATTGCCCATCCCAATGATGAGTACAGGTGAGTTCCCTTTGCTGATGTCAGTCAGGTGTGGGAGCACTGAAAGGATGTGTTCACCTGCAGTGAGGGCTCTTACAGCTGATACAGCTTTGCTGCCATGAGTTTTTTCTGCCTGAAGAAAAGTGAAAGGGTTGACTTTAGCAGAGGCTCTTACCTAAAGTTTATGGACATCTTTGTGTTTGGTGTAGGTTGCTCACCTTTCATAAGCCAAGTAGCACCTGAATACAGAATCTGCAGTGTCTGTATCCTCTTCACAGAGCTGCTGTTACCTAAGGATTATCCTCCATCCTACAGTAAATCTTAGGCAAAATGCAAGTTATGTTGTCAGCCATAAAAACATAAACCTTCTCCTCTGAAGCTGTTCATCCTGCAGCCCCTGTCTGAAAAGCAGCACAACACTGGTGTGAGGCTCTGAGAAATTCCCTTGTGCCTTAATTTCCCGTTTATAGTATCATCTCTACCTCAGGAGTACCTTATGATGAGTGTCAAGAACAAGAGAGAGTGGCAGGGGGGCAGGAGGATGAACCTTCCTAGAAAATATTGTTTCTCTTTAGCTTGTCTGTGCTCCACGTTTCTAAATAGTTTTGAGAGTTGTTTACCAGAGACATTGTTGGTATCTCAACTTGTCTGCTTTTTTCTCTTTTGCCTGCTAGTCCCCTGCTCCTGCAAGTGAAGTCACTGAAGGAGGATTTGCAGAAAGGTAAAACTCCAGAGTCATCTTCTGCACAGTGAAATCACAGACAAGGATGATGTGACTGAACTGTACCCGTGCTTGGCTAATGCTCCAATCTTAACTTTGTAGGAAAATCAATGCTCTGTCTATTTAGGAAGGGAAGGATTATAATTTTAACAGAAAACAATCAGCCAATTCTAAGTCTGCTTTTAGTTGAGTGATGTGAGATGTGGTTTAAACCAACTTACCTTTTTAGCCTGAAATTTTTGATTCTGCATTTTCTGACTGGCTTTATATCTTCTCTCAGGAATTAATTCAGCCTAAACTTCGCGTTTATCTCACCTGCTTTGATTTTAATGACTCTTAGACTGGGCCACAGCTGAAACAAGCTGCTGTGTGTTGCTGAGGTGTTCACTGCCTGCTGTCCTGTGTGGTTTTTGTGGCAGAGACGATCAGTGTGGATCAGACAGTTGCCCAGGTGTTCCGACTGCGGCCGTACCAGGATGTCCACGTCAATGTTGTTGACCCCAAGGTGTGTGGCTTTGCTCAGATCAGAGCCCTGGCACTTTCCATCTACAGTAGTACTGGGAGAAGAAAGGCATTTATTTTTTATTGAAAGATATTTAGTCTTCTTTCCTAATTACCTTGGGCAGTTGAATTATTTGCTGGTTTCTTATGTGTTTCTCCTCTCCCTCCCATCCCTGCTCTCTTTTTGAACTCTATGGACCAGCTCCAGCACAGCCTGATGGAAATGTAGACATTGCAAATATCTTTAAAGTCCAGAAGTCTGATAACCAGGCAGAGTAAAGAGAAACAGAAAGTGGCCAATCAAAAAAAGAATCATTGCCTAGATTTGTATTATTTGACCCCAGAGAGCCTCTTAAAAGAGGCATTTCCTGTAAATGTCCCGACTATCACAAGAGCTGCAGTCAGAGCTCACATTCAGCACAAGACAAAAATCTGCAGGAAATAAGGCTCCCTTAATGTCATCAACAATGGCAGGAATTTGTTTTCCTTGTGTTTCCAGTTTGCACTGAGACTCGCAGCACAGCCTTAGTCCTTGGGTGGTGTTTTGTACCTCACAGTAGTTGAGACACACACACAACTTTGGCATTTATTGGGGTATTCCCTTTTATCTTATATTTGTCAGGAATATTGACTTGCTGTGGAGGGGCCCTTCCTGTGCCATTTGGTTACTGAATGAACACACTGATGGGCACTACTTAGAAACAACCAGTAAAACCTGAGCACTGTTTGTCCTCCCTTTCCCAGGAGGTGACCTTGGACTTGGTGGAGCTGACGTTTAAGGATCAGTATATCGGGCGTGGGGACATGTGGAGACTGAAGAAGAGCTTGGTAAGGCCCCTGCTGCCTCCTGTGCAGGGGGCAGGAGATGATGTCCTTTTTCTGTGCCTGCTGGGAAAGAAGATGAGTGACTTACAAATACAGAAATCTGAGGGCAGGAGCAGTGTCAGCAGCTCCCAAGGAACCTGTGCTGTGAGTGGCACTCTGAAGTGCAGTCTCTGGCCCTTCTAAGTACAGTGGATTAGTCAAATGATCCAAATAAAAGTTCATGTGTGTTCAAAATTATTTTCTGTTGTCTATTGCAGAGGTTTTGCAGGCTGGGATATTAGCAGTAACTGCACTCAGTGGTTTTTGTTACTTTGTTATATGCAGATCAGGTGTTTGAGTGTGAATGGGGTTTTTTGTACATTGTTCTGCTCACTCTGAGCCTCCTGTTCTTCTGACCCCTGTAACTCTTCCCTCCTAGGTCAGCACATGTGCATATGTCACCCAGAAAGTTGAATTTGCAGGTATCAGGTCAGTGCCTCCTCTGAGGGCTTAATGTTACTTATGACTTTAGATTTATGAGTTCTGAGTATCCAACTGGGGAATCTTCTCTGAAAAATCCTTCATGTTTTGTTGTTCTCGTACTCATCTACAGATTCCTGTCTCCACCAGGTGGGGGAAGGCTTCTACCTGAGTTGAGGTGGAAGAAACTAAGAGTTGGGCAGCCAGCTACACTTGTGGCTTCTGCTGAATGCCAAATAATTCTCCTTTTATCTCTTACAATATTTCCCCCATCCCAAGGTGTATTAATAGTTCAGATGAAGTGACTGAGGGACAAGGAAATGCGCAGATGCAGAGGCTGTTTTGACACCTTTTGGATTAAAGATCAGATTTTAACCAAATAAGTCACCCTTGAGTGCAGATTTTGGTCCATCCCTTATTTGCTCAAATATTGATTCTCTAACCGTGTTCACTCTGGTCAGCAAATATTTTGCACTTCTTTTCTTCCAGGGCTCAGGCAGGGGAGCTGTGGGTGAAGAGTGAGAAAGTCACCTGTGGATACATCAGTGAGGACACCCGGGTAAGATTTCAGGAAGCAGGGAGAAAGCACTTTTTCCCTTCCTGTCCTTGCCAGGTTTCTTGTAATTCTATCTTGCTTGCAGATTTGTGTGGATATGGAACTGGCTGTGTTGTGAGGTGAAGAGTGGCAATAAGTTCAGGAGGGTGAATGATTAGTGAACTTCAGCCCTGCTGTGCTGGCAGCACCAGGAGTTACTTGGGCTGTTGAAATGCCACCTTGTTAGAGGGGAAATTGCCTGTGATGCAAGGGGCACAGTCACAGAAGTTGCTGTGTAATTAACCTCTTCATGTGGCCCTATTAGGGAATGCCCCTTGTTTTCAATGAGGTCTTTGTTCCTCTGCAGGTGGTTTTCCGCTCCACTTCTGCCATGGTTTATATTTTTATCCAGATGAGCTGTGAAATGTGGGATTTTGACATTTATGGTACGTAGATAACTGACCTGCCTGGGAATGGGGGTGCCAGCAGCTCTCCTTTCTGCCCCTGCTACAAAACTGCCACTGCTATTTATTTCTGCCACTGCTGGAAAGCAGAAATGCCCTGCCCTTGGCCTGGGCACTGCTTCAAGGTGCCTCAAATCCTTATTTTTCTATCTCCTGGGTGGGCCATCATTTTCCTGTCCCTGCTGTAGAGCCTGGGCACCCTTATCTCAATGATGAAATCGAGGGCTGTGAGCACTGGAGAGGTTTTCTGTGGGTTTGAACATGTTTGGTGATGAGGGTGGGGGCCAGTCTGGCAATCCTGAAACCAGAAATGTGTGGAAGTCCTGTGCTAAAAGGACCTTGATGTTTTAAATTTCTCCTGACTATAGCTTAGCAAGGAAGTAAAACCTGCTCTAGCCCAGGTAGAGTTGAGTAGCTTCAGCTGCAAATATTAAAACTCCAGGCACTAAGAATGAGTCACTTCTCTGTGTCATCATCCTATTTTTTTTTGGCTTAATTCTTTATCGAGCCTCTTGCCGCTTCCTGTGACCATGTGCTCAGGCATATGGAGCTGGGCAACTGTTCAGAACGGAGCAGGGGATCAGTTGTGCATCCTCTGCCTAAAAGACAGTACAGATGCTTTCCCAGCATGCTGGGAGTGTGTTGGAAAAATTAATGTAAAGGCCAGAACCTTCTGTCAGTGAGAGTCGTGTTTACATCCTCTGAAAGACTCATGCTTTTTAACATTTATATCATCTCATTTCGGTGGTAGGAGCCTTCATTGTGCACACAGCTGCTCTGGGTCTGATAAAAACAATTGTCCTGGAATCTCAGGGTTAGATGTGTCCCTTAGTTGAGGTAACCACTGTTATCTGATGCTTGGGAGATGTTTACTTTGCAGGGGACCTGTACTTTGAGAAGGCTGTGAATGGTTTCCTCGCTGACCTCTTCACAAAGTGGAAGGTAAAGAGCTGATTGAGTTCAGGTTTAATTTCGCATTTCCCTGGAATTGTTAGGGGCACCTCCCTGAACGGTAACAAATCAGAATATCAAATTGCTGTAGGTAGAGACAAATTGAGTCAAATGTCTCTAGGTTTTTAAACAAAAATCTTGTATGTTGGCAGCTACAGAGAGGAGTTTCTTTAGAGAGCAGGGGAGAGTGCTCCTGGTAAATGTGATGTAACCAAGAAGCACAGAATCTGCAGGACAGACCATTGTTGTTTCAGAGAGGCAGATGCAGGATTTGTGCAGATACATTAATATAATACTCTTTTTAATATAATACTTTTTTAATATAATACTTTTTTAGTTACCTTTGTTTCCAGGTGTGAGGGGAAAAAAAGATGTTACTACGTGTTTACTGCTGAATGTGACCTTTTAAGTTCTCTTTTTTTCATTTATTTTTCCTGGACAGGAGAAGAATTGCAGCCATGAAGTGACAGTGGTTCTATTTTCTAGAACATTTTATGAGGCAAAATCTATAGGTATGTACAATCTGTATTTCCACGTTTCCATTTTTAAACCTATATCCTCCTCTCTTGAAAATTGGTCACAGGTTGCCAGTTAATTTTTCCCTTTTTCTTTTAATGCTCATATTCAAACTATTTTTTGTCAAACAGAGTAGGCACACAGCCATTGTTATGAAAGTACTGCAGTGAAAGCCTTATATAGAAGAATATATGGCAAAGTTTCTTCATCATGGTTGGACAGCAATTTTTTGTTGTGTAGGAGGCCTGATATTTCTCCCAGCGTTTCGGTTCTTTGTTTGTTTGGTGGTTGGTTTGTTGGGTTTTTTTAAATGGCAAAACAGCTCCTTTCTGGAAAAGATGAGTCATTTCTCTAAGAGATCACGGGCTAGGACGTGCTTCTGCTCCTGTTTCAGATGAGTTCCCTGAAGCACATCGTGCATCCATCCGGCAGGACCACGAGGGAAGGTTTTATGAAGACTTTTACAAGTATGTTGGTTTTCCTCCCAGTTCTTCTCCCCTCTTGTCCCACAGTGTATGTGCAACCCAGTGCACCTTGTTGTGCATTCCCTTACAGTTTGGTCATCCCTTCTCCCTCCTCTCCTGGATTCCTCCCACCATCCTCACTCAGCTCTGCTCTCTCCAGGGTTGTAGTTCAGAATGAGAGGAGAGAGGAATGGACCTCACTGCTCGTGACCATCAAAAAGCTTTTCATCCAGTACCCTGTGCTGGTACGACTGGAGCAAGCAGGTACAAGACTCCTCCTTTCCCTGCTTTTACCCTCTGCTCTCTTTTATTTCTTTTTTTTTTTCTTTTAATTTGTCTGTAAACTCTCCAGTTTCACTTGGAGCCTGGTGTTGTTCTACTCACTGCTCTCCTGGCTGGGCTGTTTTGCCCAGGTCTTTCTGTATAAAAAAAATAACACCAATTTTGCCTGTAATTTTTGAAGTAATAGGATTTAGTACAAATGCATTTTTCTGTGTTTGGGTTTTTTTATTATTTTTATGAAGATAGTCTATGAGAGATGATGAATTTTGTTGTTGTTTTCCCTTCTGAACGCTTGTTCAGAGGGCTTTCCTCCAGGTTACAATTCCACCTCGGCACAAGGGAACTACCTGGAGGCCATAAATCTTTCATTCAATGGTAAGTTATGAGCAATGGGTAAAAGTATGCAGGGGAAAAGAACATTAAAGCAGCTGCCAATAAATGGGTGTGGACTTCTGCTGCCTGTTCCTTTACACAGTGCAGAGGAGGGGAATATTAAGTGTTAAATTATTATTTTGAACCTCAGAAGAAATTGTCTGTCTATGGAAAACCAGTGCCTCTCAAATAACAGTGCTGAGTATTTCAGGTCTCAGGAACCATTTACAGGGCCTTGATATGATGAAACTTTGAGCTGTGCATCTGTATGAGAACCTCTGGTGAAATCTTAAATTGTGGAAGTGTTTCAAAATCAGGATAGATCAAATGTGATTTAGGTGAAGCTGAGGGAGTCACCTGCCTTGCTCTGAAAAGAAATATTCAGTGCCTCGTTGGAGCATTCCCGAATTCTCTCCCGCAGTGTTTGACAAGCATTACATCAACCGCAACTTTGACCGCACGGGGCAGATGTCCGTGGTGATCACCCCCGGCGTGGGCGTCTTCGAGGTCGACCGGCTCCTCATGATCCTCACCAAGCAGAGGATGATTGACAATGGTAACCAGCTGGAGGTGCTTGGGGGGCAAACAGATGGGTTGGGGAAAGATGTAGCCACTTCTGGCTGTGAGAAAGTATCTGCTGCGACTTGGGAAGAGGGGTTACAGCTGGAACACGTGTCTGCACTTCATACTGAAATGGGTGGATTTGCAGGGTACTTAGAGACCTCTAATTTCTCTTGTTTGTGGTGGAGAACCTCATCTGTCCATGCAGACATGTCCCTTAAAGGATAATCTTGCATGACTTGCGTTAGTTTAGAAGAAACATTTCTTGTATCCCCACAGGTGCTGTTGGTTGGTAAACATACCACAGGGCTGTTAACTGCTGTTTTCAGTTTAATTACATCTTAAAATGTGACACGAATAGAAATCGGGTCTTCAGCTCAGGTTGATGATGTGTTCTGGCTTAGCACATCAGTCCTGCTCGACAGCTGAACTCTGCTGCTCTTTGTTTCCAGGGATTGGGGTGGATCTGGTGTGCATGGGAGAGCAACCCTTGCATGCTGTGCCACTCTTTAAGGTAAGGTGTACTCCTTTCCCCTCCTATCTGTTCCTGCTACAGACGTTATTCCTTTTGTGACCAGCTGGATGCAGCTGCTGACTCTGCTTCTGATTTCCTTACAGCTCCATAACCGCTGTGGCCCCGGGGACTCCCGGATGGGTGATGACTACAATATTCCACACTGGATAAACCACAGGTAGGTGAATTCTACCAGCCTTTGCTAAACACTCCTGCTTTGCTTTCCTCTTCATAATCTGTTGAATTCTTTTTTCTTTCACTGTTTCCTCTGCTCTCTTGGTGAAACAAAACCGTATATTACATTACTCTCATAGAACCCTGGGCATTAATGCAACATCTCAGAAATGACAGGCAATCTCTGTAGTTTTCAAACAGCTGGTGGCAGTCACAGGTGTCACATACATTGGGGAGGGCTGTGTAAATGGCACAGGGAAAGTGGCTGCCTTTCTGTAGAAAGGGGAAGTGAACTGGGAAGTGGAGGTGTCAAGCATATTAAGAAGTGGTTGAGACTGAGGCTGTGTGGGTATCAAAGCCTGGTCTCTACTGAAAGAAGAGTAGTTTCTTTCGAGTTAACCATCCATCAGTTTTTCCATGTGTGCTGTGCAGAGAAGGGTGTTCCCTTTTCTCCATGCCACAGCTGGCTCAGGCTCACAGGCTGTTTGCTGTGCAGCAAACCAGCTGTGTTCAGTTCTCAGAAGACCTTAAAACCACCCTGTTTTCCCTTCCAGTTTCTACACATCCAAGAGCCAGCTCCTGTGTAACAGCTTCACTCCACGGATCAAGCTGGCAGGAAGGAAGGTGAGGATCTTTCTGATGTATCTTTTCTTCTTACTGGCTGGTCAGATGCCTTTTCTCAGCAAAGCACCAGAGTCTTCCCAGCAAGTATTCCAACAGCTGGAACTAAGTTTCTGTGTTAAAAGACTGTGAAAGCAAAGCTGTCGTGTTTGTTGTAGGGATTGTGAATGAGGGACTAGTCTGTAGTTCTTTCTAGGATAAAAGTAGGTGGGAAATGTTTTAGCCACCATAAAAAGTAGAGTTTCATTCTGTAACAAAGAACTCCGTGGATAGGTAGAGATGTGTTTTTCACACAGGTTTGTGACAAAGTATCAGTATTTAATATTTCTGAAGTGGTCTGGCTGCCTTGCTGAGTCAGCAAGATAAACGTTAAGTCTGCTTGATCACACTGGGGAGTATTTCCTTAGAACATGCTGACTGTTTCCTTTCTCTTTTTTTTTCCCCTTTGTTTTGTTTGTTTGTTTGTTTGTTTTTGTCACTTCACACTTCTTTTGTTGGACCCTCCAGCCACTGACTGAGAAAGCAAAAAATAATCGAGATGCCTGTGAGTAATTCTGTTCTGGAAGGATCTACCCCACTGACTCCCAAGCTAACAAACAGCTGCAGTAAGACAATGACACCTCAGCAGAAGGAGGGCACAGTGGTGCCAGAAAGCCATCAAAGCCACATGTTTGTTCCTGGGGGTGTTAATGTGCACGTGTCCATTGGCTCCTTGGCAGATCACTAGCATGGGGGAGGGTGTTTCTGGCCTGGCTGTGTCACCTGGCCAGAGGAGGACGTGGTGTCAGGCTGGTGTGGTGGTGATGCTGTTCATGGGGGTGGGACAGAGAGGCCTTCTCTAGCTTGGAGTGTTTATTGTCAGTGCTGTGAGCACAAAGTTACAGTGGGAGAAGCAGCACTCTGCTGCCAGCACCTCGTGTCAGGAAGGTGGATCTTCTGTAAGTGAGGTTGTCCATTCTTTCAAAGATGCTTTAAAACGTGCAGTTCCCTCATGAGAGAAATCAAGGCATCTGTTCATGCAAGGATTGATTTGTTGATTATTAATTTCATGTTTAGGGTATATGGGGGAAAGCCATTAGGGCCACAGCAACCCTCGTTCAGAGGCACCAACGTTGATAATTGAGCTGCTCCAGCTGGTTCTGCTCATGAGACTTTTGCATGGGATTTCTTTTGGAATAGCTCCTTTCCTTAGAGATGAGAGCTGGGCACTCTGACTTGCAGATCTTGAACATTCTTGGAAGAGGTTCCAGTGCTGTGTGATTTTGGTTTCAGCTTTAGGAGCTCCCAAGGATGCTGAGAACGCCCTGCCTATCCAGGTGGATTACGATGGCTACGATGCCCAGGTGTTCCGGCTGCCAGGCCCGTCCAGAGCCCAGCGCTGCACCACGTTCAGGTAGGAGGCTTGGGATGCACTGGTTCCAGAGCACCCATGTTATGCTGGGCTCCTGGATGCATCGAATGCTTTGAGAAATGCAAGGAGAATTAAGCTCCACATGCTTACAGTTGCAGGAAAAGCTGTGTCTGTACCTGGTCTTTGGGGCTGATTGGCTAATTTTGCTTCTCAGATGGTGGGTAGGATCTAAGAAAAGGCATAAATGTACTTCCTTGAATCTTTCATTTTTTCTCGAGTGGAATGAAGCCAGTCTCCCTTGCTGAGTTCCTAACAGATTTTGCAAGGGGATTAAGAAAGTACTTGCACAAAAGACTTGCACAGAGTTGTAGAAAAGCAATAATTTGCTGCACTGCTTAGTAACCGGTACTGAACATAGAGTGGTGGGGAATCTTCCCTGAAAATGATGCCTGGATCCTGGGAACCCTGGAAGAGAGCAGAAACAGAGAAGCTGAGTGCAGGTTCTCAACTATTCCATGGCCTTTTGTCTGAGGAGAAAGGCTGATTGTTCTCAGGTCCTGGCCAAATTCTTTGAACAAACTATACACTTCAGTGCTTTTTCAGGAATATGGTATTGATGAGCTTGTTTTGAAGTGTATTTTTTGCTTTCCTTCTTTCAGTAGTATTGCCTGAATCTGAAGAAAACTGTGCATGTGGACTCAGTTGTTAATATGAGCAGCCTGTAGAAATCCGTGCTGGAAGATGCCAGTACAATTTAATGTAGTTAATAATTCCAAGTAGCTTTTCTACTCCAGCTGCATGTTCCTGGCACTGTAGGCTCAGGTCCAGTATCTTCTAGGCCACATCTGTGCTACCAGCTCAGTGTGGTGTCTGGAATTGCCCAGGGAGTGGAGCGTGCTCTCCTCACAGCCGTGTGGGAACAGTTCAGTGCTCTGTTCCTCTGTGTCTGAGGCACACAGGTATAAAGTGCCCACGTGGTCAAAGCAGACAGTGATGCCTTCCTTGTAGTCCCCTTTGAGCTCACCTGCTGAGCAGGGAGTCCTTGACGTGACTTGGGCCTGTTCAAGCCCCTTGTTAAGCCGGGAATTCATCTCCTCCTTACCCCTGGCCAGGTCTGTGAGGGAGAGGGAAAGTCGGACGAGGAAGAGCTCGAGCTCGTACGATGTGTCGTGCAGCCCGTCCCTGCAGAGCCGCGCGCTGCCCCCGGAGGAGGTGCGGAGCCAGGCCTCTGACGACAGCTCCCTGGGCAAGATCTCCAACATCCTCATGATCCCGCGGCCACACCTGCACCAGTGTGAAGTCAGCAGCTCCCTGGGCTACACCAGCACCAGAGGTCAGCCCGGGGCACGTGGGCAAGTACCTTTGGTGGGCAGAGGGAAGGGAAAGTGGAAGTTTGTGTTGGGCACTGCCAGGCCAGCACAGGGGACGTGGTGCTTGTTTAACACTCATGCCACAGCTTCTTCATAGCTCCAGCTGTGCCTGGGTTGTGCATTCTCCCTGTGCTATCCTTGTCCAATTCCATTGCTTTTTTTATTGGCTCGCCCTAAATAGAAGTGTCCTGACACTGATTTACTCTTCTCCCTTGTCTATTGCCTTCTTTAGTACTTGGCTACTCTCCTGTGTCTGCCTGCAAATGTGGACACACACGGGGAACTTTCATTATCCAGGTCACCTATAATCTGTCAAATGAGAAGTGGCCTTAGCAGTGAGCCCTGGGGGACCCTGCTTATAACAATATCTCCATGGGGATTTGTTGTCATTAAGACTCACTTTCTAGATCCTTCCTTTTGACAATGCACTGCTGAGCTGTCTCTGTGTGTTAGCAATCCTGGCTCTCTCCTTTTCTTCCCTTCCAGTTTAATTTTTTTTCTCAGAAAATATGCAGTGTCTTCCACAAACCCAACTCCATTTCTAGGTAAATTGTATTCCTCCTGCAATTGCTTCATCTTCTATCAAATTCTATCCCTGAAGGCTTTTTCTGTTTTTTCATGTCATGCTGTATGACACTGATACCATATTTATCCTGTCACAGGAATCGGAGTTACGAGTGTGGAACTGCTCTCAGCAGCCTTTCATGTTTCCATCTACTGTCATTTAGTACAGCTTCTTTTGGTATTTCTGTTACTCCTGTAGTTTGAAGGATGGTCTGGTGACCAGCTGAAGGTGTTCAGCTGGATGGGGACCTGTGTGGAATGGGAGTGGTGGGGACAGAAGAGTCAGAGAAATCGAGGTTTATCTCATGGCAATATAGAACAGTAAATGAGACCCTTCCTTCTCTTTGGAATTTCTGCTTGTTGGGCAGAGTAATTACTACTTATTCATGTGGTATATTTCTCCTGTTTCTAAATAACTGTACTTGTATTCTACATCCAGTAGTGACAACGAACTTATCTTGTGGAGGTCACATCCAATGTCTTCTTGGAGTAATCTCTGATTTCAGTGCTCAAATCTGGATGTTACAGAAAAGGCATGTGCTGCTCAGCTGTAGCTTCCACCATGTCCTTGGTATTCATCCTGAAGTTTCTGGTGTCAGTGTTTTTATTTCTCAGAAATTCTCTAAGCTCTGAAAAATTTTTCATGATTGACATGGCAAGTGGTTTCTTTATGGCTTCATTTAGTGTCACAGTTCTCAGGAACACTGTAATGGCAGATGGAATAACGCTTTTTCTTGTCTGGATTCTTGTTTATGTTGTAGTTTTCAGAGTGGACTGAAATTGCTTTCAGCATCTCTCCCTGCCTACTCCTCAGCTCTCCTTGTTTCCTCTTGCCCTGGGGGATCTTTACATCCCTGAGCAGTTGATTCCCTCGCCTGGCTCCTGTGTGATCTCACGCTCACCCGGTGCTGTGTTTTCCAGACGTCCTGGAGAACATGCTGGAGTCTCAGCAGCGGGACTCCAGTGCCCCGGGGAGGTTCCACGTGGGCAGTGCCGAGTCCATGCTGCACATCCGGCCGGGGGGTACACCCCCCAGAGAGCCCTCATCAACCCCTTCGCCCCCTCCCGCATGCCCATGAAGCTCACGTCGAACCGGCGCCGCTGGATGCACACCTTTCCCGTGGGTAAGGGAGCAGAATGTCACACTGCTTGTTCCTTGCACACCTTTCCCGTGGGTAAGGGAGCAGAATGTCTCACTGCTTGTTCCTTGCACACCTTTCCCGTGGGTAAGGGAGCAGAATGTCTCACTGCTTGTTCCTTGCACACCTTTCCCGTGGGTAAGGGAGCAGAATGTCTCACTGCTTGCCTTCTCCCTTGCCCGAGCTTTAACACAGTGAAGGGACCCCTGAGAACTCTGGTCCTGCACGGCACCCCAGGCTGAGCAGAGTGGATAGGCCTGCTTTTGGGAAATATTACATCTACTGGCAAACAAGCAGCATCAGGCACTGGGAACAATCCTGTAGTAGCTGCTAAAGGGAATTGTTACTGCAATTTGGGTTGACTTTCAGATGCTGAATTGTTCTTGTAATTGTTTAGTGCCTAAAGTAGGCCCTTCAAAGTGTTTAAAAGAAAATTCTACTTCACTGGCTTCAGAAATGCCAGAGATTTTGCTTTGGAGATTTTGTAAACATGCTTTCCTAATGTCCATGAGTTATCATTGCCTGTGCTGCTGGCAAAAGGAGGCTGCAGGCAACTGAGGAGTCAGGGCAGACGTGGTGATTGCTGATCCAGTTGTAACTGCAGGTCCGTCGGGAGAAGCCATCCAGATCCATCACCAAACCCGGCAGAACATGGCAGAAATGCAGGGCAGTGGGCAGCAGGACCTGACTCATTCCTCTGCTGAGCTCCTGGAGCTGGCTTACCATGAGGCCACGGGCAGGTGAGGTGTTTCAGGGTCAGTCTGGGCAGACTTTGCATGAACATGCCCTTTGCTTGAAGTTTTAGAGATGTTACAGTAAGGCAGTTATGGGTTGTGATCTCCAAGTTTAATAGAGTGTTGTGTCAGTGCCACGTGTGCAGGATGTACTTTAATTTTGAGATACAAAGCTCTCTTGACAAAGCTGGAGTAGATTTACTTCCTCTAGTTTGGGGAGGGCTGGGGCTTTTTTTCACTTTATAGAAAAATCGTTGTCCTATCTTATATTTTGTGTTGTCCTTTACAATACTTTAATCCCTGTATTCCATAGTGTTCCATAATTGTCATCCTCACCAATTTTGTTCCCTAGTTCTGCTTTAATAAAAAAAAAAAAAAAAGCCTTTTTATGACTTGCTATGTACATCTTAGTGTGCTAAAGCATCTTGTCATGACACCAGTCTCATGTCATATTCCTGACAATCCCTTCTCTGGATCTCTGTCGTCTCTGTGGATGATGTGCTCGTGCAAAGCAATTGGCTCAGTTTGGAATGTGTGGTTTGTGGACCATGAAATCAGATCTGTAAATAACCAGCTAAGCTTTATTTCTCTCCTGGGAGGACACAAGGAACTGGTTCTTTGCTGTCCTGCACAGGCAGTGCTTTGGCTCTTGCTGCAGGCAGGGAACAAGCAGCCTGGACAGGTGTGGGATGTTGTTACAGCCTCTCTGTGCTGCCATCTCCGCAAACACTGGCAGGAGAGCCGGGATCCACCGTGGGCTCAGCCGAGGCAGCAGGGCTGGCAGCCTGGTCCTTGTTGTTATTTGTCAAAAGCAGGGAGTGAATGGCACAAGTGGGGAGGGGCTGTACAATCCACGCTGTTGTGTTTTCCTCCAGGCACGTCAGCTCTCGGCAGCCGGGGGACAGCGGCTCCTTCCTGAGCTTCGGCGGGACAGAGGAGTTCTCCAACGGGCTGGCTGGGAGCAACGGGGCAGGTGAGGGGCACAGCCTGGAGCTGGGAGAGCCCTGAACGAGCCCTTCCCTGGTGGTGACAGGGGGACAGGGGCAGGACTCAAGGGAGGTGGGAGCACAGGCATTGCCAAGGAGGAAGAGCCAATAATGCAAAACCAGTTTGTGGTGTTGAGTGATCTGTTGATCACTGTTCATCTGTTGATGCTCTTACTTGGACTTCTTGGGGTGGGGCAGTTTTTTGGTTTGTTGGTTTTGGTTTGCTTTGGTTAATGTGTCTCTACTTCTCCAGGTATGTCTTAGAACCTTTATTATAGAAAGATGGTCATTGTTTACTTATTATAAACTCAGGCAGTTGCTGAGTTCCACAACAACAAAACACTGATGTCCAGACACAAAAACCAACTAAACATGCACATAATCCACGCTAAACATTCTACTGTGTTTTCTGGGGTTTTTGTGACCAACCCTCTGCTTTCATGGACTCACCCTGAGTGAGAAACGACCCCAGGTATTTCCCTGGCCGTTTGTCTCTGTTGTCCCGCAGATGGGAGGTGATAGCTCAGTGAATAAATCTTGTTGCAGTTCCCGGAGTGGATGGCAGGTGGCACCAGGAATTGGTGAAAGGTGAATGGCGCTTAGAGCAGCTCCTGCACCGTTTCCCTGGCATCACCATGGCAGCAGATGTGACCACCCTTTCTGTGAGAGGGTAACAGCTCTGGTGCTGTTACCGATCTCCTGGGATAAATCCACTCAAGCTAGTTTAAAAAAATGCTTCTCTGAAATGTTGGGGGGCTTCCTGAAATCTGTATTTTGGTAGATGGTTTGAAGGCAGCAGTTTCTCTTGTCTCCTTAGTTGCTCGTTCCCTCTCCTGTGCCACAGCAGCTTTTGTACCAGCTCAGGGAACTGCTCCAAATGGGTTTGTCTTTGCTGTGTGGATTATTGCACTGTAAACACACAGACACGATGCAAATACAGCAGACAGATGTGAAATGGGGGCCAGGAACAACTGGTCAAGGGGGACCAAAGCATCCTGCTGGCTTAGCTTCACTGAGCTGCAGTTTTAGTCTCTGGTTTCCAGGTTAATAGGCTGCTTAGAACAAAGCCATTTGAGAATGAGAGGAATCACAGTGTCTGAAGTCCTAATCAAAACTTAAATATAAGTTTTCCCTGGTATTAAGTCCCTTATTAGTCTTTATTTATGTTAGTATAAGCTGAATTTTGTTCAAAGTTCTATCATTTTATCTCTTTTCCTAATGAATAACAACTTCCTTTCTTACTGAAATATGGACCAAGGTGTATCTTACAGGCTGAAACATAATTCAAGTTGCTGCCTTTTCAGAACATGGTAGTTTTAAACAGTCTGCAATAAATATTGAACCTATTTAGGGGCACTGAAGACCTAATGAATACTTTTAAAATCTTTAGCATGGTAAGAGTAGTTTGTATTTGCTGATTAAAAAATCAACTGTTTGTTTTGTTTCCTCCCTGCCCCCTGGCAGAGGATGAAATATGTACTGGTAGTTTATGCCTAGAAATGTAGAATTGAAGTAAATCTGTATTATGGTATTCAAAAATTACTTAGACTCTTCAGAGTCTTAGATAACTAGAACCTTATATATGGGTTCTCTTATCCTACAGTGAAAGTCTGTTTTATTTTCTTTTCTTGCTTCCCCTGTGTTTTCTGAAATTCTTCTTAACTTGTTCATAAAATGAGAAAACCAATTAAAAAAAAATCTAGCTTTGGGTACTGATTATATTTGAAAGTACTTTGTTCCTCAGACCTTTGAGATTATGAAGCTAAATGATTACAGATGACTTCTTTTTTTGTTGTTATTTGCTCTTTTTTGACATCTACTTTACAAGATACATTTTACTATTTTAGGAGGTGGGTTTTGCTTGTTTTTTGGCTACTGAGCACTTCTAGTGAGATGTCTGAATTTGATCCAAGATATGTTTTTCCTCATTAATTGATTCTGTGGGTTTTTCTGCTGTGCAGAACCCTGAGTTCTTCCCCAGCAGAGAAACGCTGTATCCTAAAACATCAGCATGCTTTTACTTTATTTTTATTTGAAATTCAGGGCAAGTGCATAATTGCTCAAAATAAACCCCGTTATTTCTTTCTTGCAGGGGTGAACCTCAAAACTCAGAACAAGGATTCCTTGGAGGATGCTGTCTCCAGCTCTCCAGATCCAAGTAAGCAAGAGGGAGGTTTGGAAGAGAGTTTGACAGGTGGGCAGATGGGGAGGGAAAGGGCACGTTCACATGTAGAGGCATCAGGAGGTGGCAGGCAAGGAAGTGAGGAGCCTCCTTGGCTTTGGCAGTGGTTTGTTTTGCCCTGCAGTAATTTGCAGGATCCCCCTGTCCTGGGTCCCTCTGGGATTGCAGTTCTGGAGCTCTGAAGAACACGTGAAGCTGGTTGTTGTGTTACATCTGAAATTCTGTCCTTACCAGACTATTATGCAAAAAGGTGCTGAACTCGTCTCTGCCTCTCAGTAGGAGAAGTTTGTTTGGCACCAGCTCACTGAAGCAGAAGTAGTTCAGTCACTTTCTGCATTTGGTACTTTTACTGAGAAATATCTGCTTTCACCTCACACTGAAACAAGTGTGGGAGTGCCTGAGAAACATCTTCTTTACAGAATGTTTCTTTTCTGTCCTGTATTAGTTTCTTGTGCAGTGTTCCTGCCATTAGTGTTAACACTTCTACAGTAAAAGAAGTCTGTCTGTAGGATCTCTGTGATAAAAAGTTAAGAATCAGTATTTGACCGAGGGCCTTGATACAGATTGTTTGAGTCAGGTCAGAATGCAGGGCAGTGGTGAGCTGATGATTTGGTATAACTTAGTTAAATGTCTCATTTAAGATCTCTGTAATCTCAAAACTGCAGCATAACTCTGGGAAAGGATTGCTTTCCAAGTTGCTATTTTTCTGGTCTTCCCACCCCTCTGGATCTGTGTTCTGTTTTTATAACTGTAGAAATGCTCCCTTTTCTGCTGTTGTACTATTCCAGAAAGAGGCTGGTCTGTCATTCTTTCTCTCCTCCTCTCCAGCTCCTTCTGCAGTTGTCTAGGATGCAAAACTGGTCTGATTTTCTTGTTCAGACGTGGAATGTTGATCTGTTTATTAATAATCAGTAACTGCACCTGACTTGCTGTAATTTGGAAGAGCGGTGGCTGTGTCAGCTCTAGCTTTCAATCAAGAGACAATTAAATGTATTAACTGTGAATGCCATTTGCATGATGGGATTGAGCAGCATGTGCACTGCATTGTTTAACAAACTCTGTCTCTTTCTCTCCCTCCCTTCTTCCTGTCCTATTTTCCTTTTCCCTTCCCATTCCACCCCTTTTTGTCCCTGTTGACCTCACGCCAACCCTGTTTTTTGTCCCCCATTCTCTCTAACGCTCCTCTCCACGCACTCCTTTCATCCTCCTCCGCACCCCCTTTTCTCCTGGGTGCCCACACACGCCCCCCCCGTGTGCCCCCCGTGACACAACGAGGCAGTTCTGACGCTGTCTGCTCCCCCCGTAGTGCCAGGCTTCTGTTGTACAGTTGGAGTGGACTGGAAATCCCTCACTACTCCGGCCTGTCTCCCCCTCACCACCGATTACTTCCCGGACCGCCAGAGCCTGCAGAACGATTACACCGAGGGTTGCTATGACCTGCTGCCAGAGGCTGACATTGACAGGTTTGGCCAGCACCTTCTCTGTAAATGCCTTGAATCCGAGTGCTTAAGGAGCAGGTGATGGAAGAGGATCACTGGAACCTGTGCAAGTGAAGGATGAATTCCTAACAGAGCAGCAGAATACTTAAGATTTGTCTTTTCCCCGTGATAACCTTGCACCTTTTCCAATGTCACCATCCCTCAGTGTGGTGTCCTGTAGATTTTATGTTAGAATATGTGCACAAATTTTTGCATCTCTTTTCTGTTGCTGTATTCGATCAAAATACCCAACCTCAAGCTTTGTTAATCTATTTTCCAGCAAGTGTTTTGGAAACACTAAATGAGCAAATGCACGTGGACATGCAGTGTTTAAGATGCTTATCCTCACTCTCAAGGATATTTAGCTTAAAGAATCTTGCTGGAAAACAGTGCTGGTAGGATAAATAGAACTTCTCAGCTTGTCTCAGAGGTCTGTGGTAACTATTCTTTAATAGAGTTGCTTTGTTTTTTTTACTGAAGCTTTCTCATAATCTTCAGCATTTTTCAGGCTTTCCACAGCTTGTAAGGCACGAAAAGACCTGTTCATGTTGCTGCTTTATGGAAACGAAATAAAAATATTAGTCAGGGTGACTGAAATAATACATAGTGAGTAGCAGGACTAATGAAGCAACACCTAAAAGAAATGTCAAATGTCCCTTTGCAGCGGGAAGGTGAAGTTCAGAGCAGAAGGAGTTGTAATGAGATGCCACAGCGATGTGTCTTTAATCCCTCTCTGCTCTCACTTCCCACTGTGGAAGAGGCTGGAGCGTTGCTGCCAACTGGCAGTTCTGAGCTCTGCTGAACATGGACAAAACCTGTCCTGAGACTGTCTGCAAAGTGCTGGAAAACTCCTCTCTGGGGAGTCAGACAGCTGATCGTCCCCTGTTTCCAAAGGTGCCGGTTTTCCCTCCTGCTGCCACAGGCAGGCGTTCCCAGGCACTGCCCGGGGCCCTGCACGGCCACAGACCTCAGCTGGGAGGCACAGAGCTAAGAACAGGTGTGTGTCAGCTTCCTTATTGTGGTCTGCTTGCCCTTTGTGTCCAGGAGGGATGAGGAAGGAGTGCAGATGACAGCCCAGCAGGTGTTTGAGGAGTTTATTTGTCAGCGCCTCATGCAAGGCTATCAAATTATTGTGCAACCCAAGCCACAGAAACCGGCCCCAGCCGTGCCACCCCCCCTGAGCAGCAGTCCCCTCTACAGCCGAGGTGAGTGACCCCAGACTGACGGTTCCCTCTTTTGTCTTTCCTGCTGCCAGCCCCTGCAACCTTGAATGAGGCACAGGTGCTCAGTGAAGCCTCTGTTTGGTTTGGTTGGTTTGTTCCTTGGTGTTATATGAAAGTCTTTGCAGGGAGAGAGCTTTGCCTGGGGCAGCACAAAGGCTGCACCATGAAGGGACAGGTGCAGGATTTTTTTAACTTTACTGAGGAACTGGCCTCACATTCATGATGGTGAACCCAAAGAACAATGGCTTCAGTGCTCTTTGGGTGAATACCTCCTAAACACAAGTCACGTGCTGACTGCAGGGCACATCTCTAGGAGAAGACAGCCCTAAAGCTTCCACCTGTGTGTCTCTGGAAGCAGTTTGGTGACACTAGAACAGCTGTGGAGGTCCAAGGCAAAGCTTTGTTGTCCTGAAACCATGAGTCAGCTAAACTGAGTTAAGCTCCAGAGGACCAGGGTGGGTTAAGGGAGCGTCATATTCCTTGGAGAGAATCTGACTCGCTGTTTGACTTCTGATTATCTTTTTTTCCTGGATATTCCCTTGGCAAGTCAGCATGGCACAGTGTTCTTAGAGCAGGGAATACAGGTGAACGGGATATATTGTTAATGCTGCTTTGGGAATGAGCAGCAAGGCTCCTTAGGTTAAGTGTCAAGCTTAAGTTCCAGGAATAAGGCACAGGGAGGAAGTGAAAGTGGGTCCCAGCTTTCCCATCACATCTCACACCAGGTGCTCAGCACCTTCTCTGGTGGGTCTGACCAGAGAAGTTCCAAGTGGGAGGTGTTTGAATCCCAAACACCCCTCTTTGGTCGTGATACCAACAAATCTGAACTGTAAGAACAAAAGACTCATTGTACAAGTGTTTCCTAAAAACATGGCCTGGAAGGTGGATTTTAGTTTGTCCTGAGTTCAGAAGCACAATGCTGGACTCCAATTCTGGAGTCTATGGGCACAATTTATTAAAATCTGACTAGTGCAATGAGCTGAAAGGGGTTTGCCTTTCACAACTAGGCCTTGTATCCAGAAATCGAGCTGAGGAGGAAGATCAGTACTGGCTGAGTATGGGCCGTACTTTCCACAAAGTCACCTTGAAAGACAAAATCATCACTGTGACTCGGTACCTTCCAAAGTGAGTATCTCTCTGCTTGAGCAGCTTGCTGCCAATGTTCAGATGAACATTCTTTTCCAGCTGTCTGTGCTTGCTTGAAAGAACATGCTGTAGAACCTTCTTTAGGAGAAGAAAGAGAAGCACTTATATTGATAATACTGAGATCAATGTTTGTGTTTGATCTTTTAGGTATCCATACGAATCTGCTCAGATAAACTACACCTACAGCTTGTGCCCCTCACACTCTGACTCTGAATTTGTCTCTTGCTGGGTAGAATTTTCCCATGAGAGACTAGAAGAGTACAAGTGGAATTACTTGGATCAGTACATCTGCTCTGCTGGCTCAGAGGATTTCAGGTGAGATCTCCTTTTCCATCCAGACCGTTCTGTGTCCTAATTGCCTCTTTTCCTTTCTGACCTAAAATTTCATCAGCAAGTTCAGCCCACAAATGCTCAGTACTCCAGGGAGAAAATCTGGCCTGCTTTTGCTGTCTGGTGGTAGCAGCTGTTGCCTTGTAGGAACCTCACTCTTGTGTTGCTGGTGCGTTATCTGATCTTTGATACCGAGTCTCGATCACAAAATTCAGCATGAATACTTTTTTTTCTTCTAAATGCAAAGAAATACGATGGCATTTTGTACCACACAGATGCTTTTCTTGGCTTCTTACTCATTTCTGGATCTGACTCAAAACTTCCATGTATTTTGAAGCTGTTGGAGGTTTGCTTGAGTACTCGGCTTGACTGCAGTCCTGCTCCTAAGCTATGGAGTGCAGTGCTTATTAGAAATGTGGAATATCTCCACTAGCATCAACAGCCTTTTTGACATCTTCTCTCCACGAAACCAGTCTTTGTCATCTTTTCAGGTCTCAGTCAAAATGCCTCCTACGCTGCTGTGTCCCTTTGAAATTCCTTTTCGCGTGCTTATTTTTAGAGAGAAAGCCTTTGTATCCTATCTTTTACAGGAAAGAAAATACATCCCTATGCTACAGCGGCCTCATTTTCTGCATATCAGTGTTTTAATAGTTCCTACTGACATTTGTTCTGCTGAGCCTTCCTGTGCCCACCTGCTCGTTCTGACTCAGGGGTAGCAGAGTGACACGGTCCCTGTGCTCGCCGAGATGCCCAGCGGGCACACGTGTGCTTTAGATTGTGTGAAATCCTTCCTGGGAAACGGCTGAACTGGCCTCAATTCCGTGTTTCTGCAGCCTGATCGAGTCGCTGAAGTTCTGGCGGACGCGGTTCCTGCTGCTGCCCGCCTGCATCAGCGCCACGAAGCGCATCGTGGAGGGCGAGGCGCACTGCGACGTGTACGGGGACAGGCCCCGCTCCGACGAGGAGGAGTGGCAGCTCCTGGACGGATTCATCCGCTTCGTGGAGGGGCTGAACCGCATCCGGCGCCGCCATCGATCCGACAGGATGATCCGGGTGAGGCGGCGCTTGGTGGGGGCAGGGGCGGGGGCTGGGTTTGAGTCACCTCATGAGGTGCTGACAGACCTGAGCCCACCCCGGGCAGGCTGGGGGTCCATGGCCTGTGTCCGTGGGTGACCCACACATGCTGGGCTGGTTTTAGATGGTTTGTGTTTGTTCACACCTTTCTGTTCTTGAACCAGTTATATTTACCTGGCATGGGTATCCCATGCTGCTGTGGCTGGAACCAGACTCAGAACAGTTCTCACCCTGAACTGCCAGCAGAGCCATCCAGGCCTTGGCCTCTTGCTGCTCTATTTTCATCTCAGTGGGTCTTCTCTTAACCACGAGTCTGATGCCACCTCCCTGCAAAGGCACCATGCTTTGTGCTGCAGGATGGTCAGCCTGAGAACGTTATTGCACCCTGTGATGCAGATAACTGGTCAAAAGGGATCTCTGAGGTCGTTTAGCTGGGAACTTGTGGCTGGCTTGTCTCCATGCTGCAGTCTTAGGAAAAGGATTGGGAAAAGAGAACCATATGGGTGAATTCCTGGTGAACAGTGGTTTCAAGAGGATGATGAGAAACTGGTTAATGTGTATCAATTTTTTTCCCAGTTCACACACTGAATGTGTACTTAATAAAGTCCTGCTGACATGAGGTTGTGTTCTTGCTTACTAGTTAAGCACAGCTTGACTGAGTCTGCGCTTCCATTTTTTTCTTTGTTAGAAAGGATCTGCCATGAAAGGCTTGCAGATTGCTGGTCCAATTCCTACCCACTCTCTGGAGCAGTCTGGACCTCCCATTGGGAAGAAAGGAACCTCAGCACTCTCAGCTCTGCTGCAGATGGAAGCCAGTCAGAAGTGAGTCTCTACAGGCTGTGTGAAGAGCACTAGAACATCCTTCCTACATATTCCACCTGGGCTGACTAATGCAGAGTTGGGGAACTTTGCCTCATGTTATGTTAAATACACAAGAGATTTAATATTTGTAGTGCTAAGTTAGTGTTGCACATGCAGAACAGAACTGAGTGAGTTCAAGGATCTGTGTTGTTTATGTGGGGTAAGAGGTACTTATGGGAGGTTGAATTGACTCAGTGCCCCTCTGCAGTTGCCTTCAGGTAAAGCTGACACAGAGTGTGTTTGAATAAACTCTGGATTCCTTCCCTGTGTTTCAGGACCCTGGGGGAGCAGCAAGCAGCAATGCTTTCTGGGAAGAGCTCTGGGCAGCCCTCGGAGAGCGGGAGCATTGCCATCACACCCACCTATATGGACAGCCCTCGCAAGGTAAAGACTTTCTGGTCTTTCTTTAGCTACCATTTTTACATAAGAATTTCTCAAATAATCAAAGATTCATTTCTCTAAGCACATGGCTACATCATACCATGTGTTACCCTCTAATCCAGCAAGGACTGGTCCTGTACTGGCCTTTGTGTGCAAGGGTATAAGAAGAAGTTGGGGCACAACCTCCCTTCAGTTCTGTAACTGTGGCAGTGGTATGGAATCCCTGGGGTGTTATCTCAGTGTGTTTTGCTGATCTAGGTGCTATTTGCTAATTAGTCCCTTTTCTAGTATCACATTTCATTTCAACTGGGGTTGGACTGTCAGATTGAGCAGTACAGTCCTGTCTGCATCTCTGTGTCTCTTGGAGAGCAAAATCAGGCTCTAGGCCGTGACTGTGTGAAGCTTGAGTGGAATTTTAACAGCAGGAACTTGAGTCTCTTGCCTCTGCTCAGAGGAGAGGATGTGTTCCTTAGAAGTGATTCAGGTGTCATTCCTTCACTGGCCAGACTCCAGGCTGGGGAAAATTGTCTTCCTGGAACTTTCTTCAGACACTTGAAGAAAAAGACTGTGCTACTCCTCAACCTTTCTTCTCAAGTGTCCTGTGAGTGCCAGGAGAGCAGGAACTCTGCCTCCAAGTCCAACCAGAAATGTTTGGGTTTTTTTCTGTGTTCTGACATATGGAGGTCTTTCATCAGAAGTAACAAGGAGCTGAATAAAGATAGGGGACTTAAGTGTAATCTGTATTTGGGTTCAGAAGTTGAAATATTGCAGGGAAAAGGTTCTCAGAGTAACCACTGTCAACCAGCTCTTTCGGTATTTTTCTTTTAGTGTCTAATGTTTCAACATTCACAGTTTTCTGCCACGAGCAGGGGCAAACCTTGTGTTACTCTGGAGATCTGGATATTGATAGTTGAAGTGATGGAGTAGCAGTGATGATGTTTGTAAGAGACATCTATTTGTACAATTAGAGTGCTCTGAGAACACAGATGAGTCTGGAGCAGGTTGTACTAGACCTGAAAAAGTAGGTGCAGAGCCTGACCTTAGGCATGTTTGCAGACTTCCAGAGCAGTACAGCTTCAGACCAGTTCAGGCTTTGCATTCTCCTCTTCTACCATTTTGAAAATTCAGCCTCCCTCTTTATAAACAGAAATCAATCTCAATTGTCTCTTTCTATCAGTAAAACTGGTGAAAATTCCACGTAGGACACAGGAGAGAAGAACTTTGTGTCTGTTTCTGAGGGGAAAAAGGCAAAATTGGCTTCTATAGCAAGGGCACAGTGGTGTGTTGGGAACAAATTAACAGACTGTGCTTCCAGCAAATGCCATCGTGAGTAATGTTAAAAGCAACTGTGTTCCAAAGCCTCTTTAGAAGGCTGACTGGAGACTCTGGAGGAGTTTGTTATCAATTGAGGGCCTTTCACACCACAGCAGTAAACACTCCTGTAAATATTTACACATAGGGACTGGGAGATAAGCAATTGGGATCTCCAAATTGATGGCTCATGCCTGTTGGAAAGGTGCCAGTGGACAGGTAGCCGTGTCAGGGAACTCTGTGCTCATGTGGGAACATCAGCAAGTGTGTGCCTGGTGCCCCAGCCCTTGGTCTCTTGGCTGTCTGCAGACTGAGAGTCAAAGTACTGACAAATGGTCACAGCTGTGCCCTGCCAGCAGCCAAGGGAGCAAGTGCTTTTCTAGGATGCTGTTCAGTGCTGGAGTTATTCCAGACCAAAACTGAGCCACTGGCTCCACCTTTACTCTGTTTCAGAGTAGAATTGGCAAGTCCCTTCAGCCAGTTACTGGGCAACACAGTAGGATTTTAACACAGTGAGTTCCCTTGATGCACAATCTGTTTGGGAATCTTTGCCCTTGTGGACCCAGGGGGCTTGGCACTGTGTAAATTATCAGCCATGTAACCCTGGTATTGATTCTTTCCAGAAAATGTTTTATATGTACATACCAAGGTAAGAAGCATCTTAACTGCAGACTAGACAGAAATATTTTGCCTATGGAACAGAATAAAGAATTGCAAATGAGGAATGAAAATCTAGTTGGGTTCCACTGCATTGTCTTCTGTGATAAGAGAATCTTGACACATCTTGGAATAGCAGCTGGGAATAAATTCACCCCGGGGTTGCAAGTAGGTGGGAATGCAGCACAGGCAGCATCTGTTGAATTTTGCTTGAAGCATTAAACACGGTGTTGGAAGGATCTCTGTGATGAGTTTTTCTTCCCTTTCCTTTGCACCATACCAGACCTGCATTTAAGGAGGAAGAGTGTGCTTCCTGAAAAGAGCTTCTTTGCCTCTCCCTCTTTATCATTTGAATAACTAACAGACTGAAAAAAAACCCCAAAACTGTCCTGTCATTACACCTGTAGTTGCACAGGTTTCTGTACCACTGTTCAGCTTTGCATTTGGGATGGAAACCCCACAAACGTCAGAGCTCGAGTCTTTCTCCTGTGAAGTATGGAGGGAAGGCTTTAGTTTCAATTGGCTTCTGATCAATGTGCTTTTCCAAAATTCTGGAAAAGTATCTGTGCTAAGGGAGAGCAACGTCTTGTTACCGAGAGAGAAAGTCCTGGTATGTGTGTCAGTAACTGCTGATGCTCTGCATTCTGCTGCATCTGACATTCTGGGTCTGGGGTTTGCATTCTCCTCATACTTTCCCTCTGTGGTCATTTCATACTTGCACAACTTTGTATTTGCTTTTCTTCAACTCCTTGTTGCTGTTGCCATTAATGGGCCTGCTTCCTCTGATGCCTTCAGGATGGGGCCTTCTTTATGGATTTTGTTCGCAGCCCACGAACAGCTTCAGCCTTCTACTGCCAGGTTAGTTTGGAATGGGTCATTGTCATCTCGGGCTTTGGGACTGAGGTGACGGAGAGCGTTCGTGTCCTGAGCTGGCCGTGTGGGGAACCCGTGTTTGCAGATCTGCTCGCTGAGAGGGAGATGTGCAGCATTAGCAGGACAAAAGTGGCAGATGCAACTATTTCCTTCCACCAGTCAGTGTTTGTGCTGTGCTTTGGATGTTCCTGTGCCCTGTCTCACTGTCCTTTGCAGTACTGTCATGGCAACTACTAAAGCATCTGTTTTTATTTTTCAGTAAGTGCTTGTTTTCTGTGTTCCCTCACGGAACAAAATGGCAACAGCTCCCTCATCTAGTTCTTGGCTGAATTTCTTCTGTGGTGTTTGTCTGACAGGTGGCTCTGGGGAGATCCAAGGCAAATTGTGCCCTTGGATTCTTAAACAACTAAGGGCTGAAAATATTGGTGTGATCTTGACTTCAAAGGGTCATTGTGACAGAAGTTGTTTGTGCACTTAACACCAGTTAGGGATTACCAATAACACATTGTGTCCATAGAAAACGCTGCTGGTTGAAGTGGCTCTGGGGAGGGAGAGTAGCTTTAGCTGGCTGTGGGCACTGTGGGGTCCACGTTGGATGGAGCATCTGCTGGTTTTAGACTGCCCAAAAAAACATCTGCCATTGTGGAGTTAGAGATCTTTGGGATGTGAGAAATGGCATAAAAAAGGACTCTTGGCTGACAGACCTAAGTCAAGCCCCCAGCTTTGTGATTTTTAGCTGTGTGCTGTGGATTCATCCCAGCAGAGCAGCCCTCATATTTACACCAGCCTGACTTGGAGTTGCTGTGCTGTTCGTGTTCTCTCCCCCACCTCTCGAGCTTTTATATAACGTGCCTTTCCTAAACCAGCCGTGTTAATGACAGATGGCAATTACAGCCTGTACTTTGCTGAGTCCTTCAGCATTCATGTTCTCTCTGAAACGATTTTATGTTAATTTTGTGAACTATTCAGTCTACCATTGGAATGGTGTGAGTGTTCCTGCGGGAGGAAAGTGTTCCTGTTGTCTTGGCGACAGAGGTGTGGGTGGGTGCCAACCAGCCTGCTCACACTGCCCTGAGAAAGGAGGGGAGAGGAGCTGATTTTTTTTGTGCATTATGAAACCTGAATTCTGTGTGATACATTTGCATATTTTTGAGAGTTAGAGTTGAAATTATTTTTGCTAAATGCTTACTACTTTCCCATAGTGATTAAGTGCCCTGTGCTGTGCATTGTGTGTTTATAATCACAGTTATTCACGGTTGAAAATGTCAGCTTGGGACTGGTGGTGTTGGTCTGCCAGTGGTTCTCTCAACACAGTTGTTGCTGGGCTGGTGATCCTCATCTTTATTGGGGTTTGAATTTCTTGTTTGTCAGGAGCTCTGTGGTGATGACAAAAATAAGACTGTATTTATCCTTTCTGCATATGCCTGTGCTTCCTTATAGTATTGCCTGTTGTTAACTAACTTGAGCTGAGGTACAGATGATGTGGGGAGGGGGGAAAATGGATTACATCGTGAATTTTATGAAGATGTTGCTGTGTTTACTCCTCCCAGGTCTCTATAGATCAGTCAGTTCCTGCAGCCTCAGATGGCAACACATTGATAACCACGGGGCAGGTGCCTGACAGGGGCAGCACCCAGACCTTGGGAAGTGCCCAGAACGTTGCAGAGCCAGGGTACAGCACAGCTGGAGCTGCAGAGGGCAGGTAGGAAAAGCACTGCAGTGCTCTTGAGTTACAGCCCCTTTGTGGTGTCAAGGAATGGGCCCTTAAACAGGCACCTGAGAACAAGCTGTGCTGTCTGTCAGTGCTGCCAGGCACTTGTCACAAGACCCTCCTGCAGCATTTCCACGTGCAGAGAGAGTGGTAGTAAAATAAGCCTTGCAACCCAGTTTTCCAGAATTAAACGAACACAAGGCCTGATTTCTCCACCCACAAGAAGAGCTTCATTCTTCAAGAATGAAGATATTCCATTTCTGAAACCTGTTAGCTGAAAATCAGGCTCTGAATTGACATCTTCTGTCTGTTTGGCAAAGGAGGGCCCTGCAGGTCTAATTGGATTGAGCAGGTTGATGAAATGCAAGAGATTCTGACCTGGAAGCGGGCCACTGAGGAGGAAGCAACACTGAAAATAAACTTTATTAACACCTGTTTCCTGTTGTATATTACAGTAAAAAAAAAAAAGCCAACTTCAAAATGTTTGCTCTCAGTGGCTCCTGAGTACAGCTGTACGTGGTACAGTGTGCATTGGGTCCTCACAGCCATGTCCTGGTGGCCTCAGGGAGGAAAAAACAGGTCTGATGCTTTTAGCTTTCCTTCTTGATATGAAGAAGGAAATAAATGTGACAGTCATTGTTGAGAGGAGAGAGCATTTCTCTGAAGTGTACATATTTGAACAAATCTGGAAGCTTCCTTGATTTTTGACTGTGCTTCTGTTCACAGCTCTCAGCAGTGTTCCACGAGTGCTCTGACTTCCTCCTCCACCTTGGTGGAGATTCTCGAAGCCATGAAACACCCCACGTAAGTTTTTAATATGAAAATGCTTTACATCTGCTGAGATGTTTGCTGAGAGGACGTGAGGCACAGAGTCACTCCAGGGGGAGAGCCCCATGTCAGCTGGGGAAGAATTTCAAACTTCCTTTTGTTATTCAGTTCCAGCCTCCCTAATGAGGAATTTTATATCAGTTGAGGTACGAGTGTTGATTCAGAGACTTCAGTTATTAGAATGCCAGAATCTTGTCAAAGCAGGAATTCCCAGTAAGTCACTGAAGTGCTGTCAGTGTCAACTCTTCATCTTGTTACCAGAAGCCAAAGATACATCACTGTGGGGGCACTGTGCATTTCTTGTCCTGTATTTTATCCCCCACCCACACTTTCCCCCCGCCCAGCAGTGATTTTTGGCTGGGTTACGTAGAAGAACTCTCAGTCTCTCTGTGTTAACTCGTGTGACTTGCTGTGATTCAGCACAGGGATCCAGCTGCTCTCGGAACAGAAGGGCCTCTCCCCGTACTGCTTCATCAGTGCAGAAGTCGTGCACTGGCTGGTCAATAATGTGGAGGGTGTGCAAACCCAGGCCATGGCCATTGACATAATGCAGGTAAGGGAACTGTCCAGGGGCGTGTGGAGGGCCAGAAATACCTCACTCTGTGAAGAAAGTAGAATTGTAGAAGAAAGCATAGCAATAATTTCTGCTGCGTATTGATATCCTCATATTGATAGGTACTGAAAATTGTTCAACAGAAGGAGGTGATGATGACATTTTTTGGATTCCCTATCACAAAACAGCATGTCCTCCAGTAGTAATACGCAGTATTTTTCCCCACTTCTCTGGGCTGACACTTCTGTGTACAATCTCCAGTTAGCTTGTACTTACCCACAGCTCTGCACTGTGTTGCAATTGTGAGGCACTACAGCACGATTTGATTTTGGTTTTCCTTCTGATCATTAGTTAATGAACTTTTAATAAAATCAGCACATGACCTCTCTGTTATGGATGCTGAAGAAGACACATTTTATGCAGGAACATTGCTAGTGTTCATCAAGGGATTGCTCTGTATTGAACTGTGTCAGGGGCGGACAGTTGGAAATGTCTGGGAGTTCATTCCTCTGCTGAGATCCCATTTCAATTAACAGAGAACTCAGAATGTTTCCAACCTCCTACCTTCCTACAAATCCACCTATAAAACCAGAGCAGGGTTAGAGAGGAGGGCAGAAATCTGTGGAAAGGTCAAACACAATTTCTCAGGCGGATAAGGAATCTGTTACATTTACTGAATACTTTGCTGGTATTCTCGTTAGGCACATAGCTGGACAAAAAGATGTCAAGAGAAAGAAAATTATTTCCTAATGTTCTTTAGCAACCTCTTTTTGTGACTGGAAGAGTGACTTCTTTTTCATCATGTTTGCTCTGTTCTCTCTCTTTTTGTTCAGAAAATGCTGGAAGAGCAGCTGATTGTCCACGCGTCTGGAGAAGCTTTACGAACCTTTATTTATGGCTTTTATTTTTACAAGATTGTGGTGGACAAAGAACCAGACCGAGGTCAGCACTGTGTTATTACAAGACTTTCCTCACTATCCCTTTGCATAATCTCTAGGATTTACTTGATTCTTGTGGGTGCTGGAGCAGGAATGCGTTTTGGGAGCAACCAAAAACACCGATCTAAGGAGAGGAAATTCAGCCTGTTTGGTTAAAAAAAAAAATTGCAGAAAACATAATTTTTTTTCCTGCCTCTTTTCCATCAAGAGCTCCCTCTCTCCCTTCGGTGTGGCTCTAACTGCAGCTGTCCTTGCCCTGTGCAGTGGGGATGCAGCAGCCTGCCATGTGGCACACCGCTGCTGTGGACGACTTCTCCGCCTTCCAGAGGAAGTGGTTTGAGGTGGCCTTTGTGGCAGAAGAGCTCCTGCACTCCGAGATCCCGGCGTTCTTCCTGCCCTGGCTGCCCAGCCGCCCCGCCTCCTATGCAAGTAGGCACAGTTCCTTTAGCCGCAGTTTCGGAGGACGGAGCCAGGCAGCTGCACTCTTAGGTAGATGCACAGCACAGGTGACAGCTGGGGAAGTTCAGGGGGAGAGTTTGCAAGGGGAAGAGCAGCCAGCCAAGGGGATGATCTCACGTGGACCAGCAGTAAAGCTGCAAATTTCATGCTGGCCTTACGTGTGTCTTGCACGTGGACTTGTTCTCGTGTGCTGGAGGTGTGTTTCACTGGCTGAGCAGGCAACTTTGACTTCTGAGGACCGGGCTACAACAAAAACTATTTCTTAAAATATTCCTTGTTCTTGAACCTCTAGAATTGACAAAGGAAAATACTTTGTCTCCCCACAGAAACAGAGACTCTTCACAACCTATGAGAACAGCAGAGCAATGAAACTGTTCTTAAAATTACATGTCTAATTGCTTCCTAATGGCAAAAGCCACAGTGAGATCCAGATGTGTTAGAAGTTTTCTGTGATGTGCTGGAGGCTTTCTCAGCTAATCTGAACCAGAGCCAGGCTCCTTATATTAAATCTGTGAAGCCCAGCTACAAATGATGGCTGTGGTATGGAAGCAGTAGGAAGATCTTGCTGCTGGGCAAGATCCCATTAAATAGCATCTAATGTCCTATAATGTGTGGAGAAGAACACTGGCTGCCTCTACCAGCCCGTGAAACACACTGGCTGCATGACTGACCGTGTTGCTTTGTCAGCTTTTTGTTGCATTTCCAGGCCAGCCTGAGTCACTTGCTTTTGTTCCTCTTTCCCTCTTTAAAATGAAGAGAAAAATCATTGCTGTAGAACTGCAACTTCAGGTTTATTTAGATGCATCTGTTAAAGGCCCAGCACTTAAGGATAAAAAGAAAACTCTGCTGTTCTCCTGTTATGTGTATTTGACCTTCTGTTGAGAAGTGCCTTCCTGCTGGTGTAGTATCTCTTAAACCTGAAGTCACAGTAATCATTGTATTTCTGAAAGCCGTGTTTGAAGAGGAACAGCATCAGAAATGGGAAAGCATTAAGGAAAAGAAGTCTGAACTAATGGTTAATTCCCTGAAGCCAACATATGCAGGATATTTTCCCTGTCACACGATAAATCTGTTGTCTTGGCTGGTGTCCAACCTCATTAGCTCTGTGGCCAGAGCTGAAGCCTGAATGTAGGCTGGCATGAAATGCTGTGGAGGCTGGAGGCACTTGGGCCAGATCCTGTTCGTGGTTTGATCTCTTACTCACTATTTAGCCCAAGAAAAGCCCTTCACTTCCCTATGTCTGTCCTCTTTGGGGAGGTGAGAAGGCTGAGACTCAGCGAAGGAGCAGAGGAAGAAGGTGCCTCAGTGCTCTCCCACCTTTCCTTTGACACTAACTGGGAACAGAGTGAATTCCTGCAGGATGTCACCTATTACACACCTGGGTAGCTGTCCTTTCTCTTTGCAGTTGGAATTATGTCCATTCTGCTATTGAACCAATTTGCAGTCCTTGAATGAACGATGTCTTCAGATTGCTCACATGCAGTCTGATTATTCCAGGAATTATAATTTCTTGTAGAAAAATCTGGTGTGCAAGTTTTTTCTTAAAAAGAAACTGGCTTAAATGGTATTTCTGTGCTGTCCCTCTTCTAAACAGTATTAAAAAAAAACCAACTTCACCAGTTCATCTGAGGCAAAGAGCTTTACTAAACCCAGATGACCTCTGGTCCACGTGACTTCATTTGTTCCTCTCTTGGTCTTGATTTGGTTGTGGTTTTTAATTCTTCCCCTCCCCACCTTCCCTAAATGTCAGGCTGTGACATAAAATTGCATGCAAGCATTGGGAGCTCTGGAACAAGCTCCGTGTATCTCTCAAATCTTTATCCCTCCCAGTTCCCAAATCGCTGGCCCAGTGACTGCCCCTTTCCCTTCCCAGTGGAAGTCTGACCTGTGATACACCTAATCTTGTCCCTTTTGATTTGTAGCAGTGCATGCACTAGCAATTGTAGTCATGTGTGTAGCGGAGTCTGTGACTGGAGAATAACCTGCCTGCTCCTCCCCGTTTGCTTAGTAAACCATTAGTTAAATACTCACTAGCACAAGACAATTGGGAAGCAGGTGAGTCCTCTTAAAATCTGACCTATGGAAGCCAAAGTTTATTCTCTTAAAATAAGTTGGTTCTAATCTGAAGCTTCTGAATTCAGACACATGGATGTTTCTCATCAGTGTTTAATGTATTCTGGATTAGCTCACCTGGTTGGACTGTGTCCTTCTTGCTTTGCCTGTGAATTGCAGCTGCAGACCGGGTGGAGAGAGAAGCTCCAGCCCTAACAGGGAGTCTGCACTGTCTGGCAAAGGAACAGTCTAAGGGAGCAGGGAGCTCATTCTTCACCCAGTGCTGCTGTGGTGTTAGCACTGCCCCCCTGGCTAATGACCAGCACCCTTCTGGCTGAGCTGCTTCGGCTTCACAGCTTTCAGGAGGATGTTTTCCAACACACTTTGTTACAAAATTGGCACCATAACCTTCTGACCACAAGCACTGCACTCACAGTGATATCCCACTGCAAAGGAGCCAGAAAAAGCAACTCCAGGTGTTGGTCTGTCTGACAATACCAGACCAGCTGAGAAACTGAAGATGGTACATTTCCCAAAGATAGAAATGGCTCTTATTTAGGAAACAAAACTGGATTATGTTCTTTCATTTTTATTGTTTTTCTTTTTTTTCCTGTTTAAGCTGCAGTTATAGCAATATAAAGGATTTCCTTATAAACTTGAAATCTGGCTCCAGCTAACTTGCAGTGGAAGTGAAGGTGGGAACTTCCCATCTACCTTGAGGAAGAACATCAGTATTTTTTTAAACACCATTAAGTCATTAATTTATAAGATAATTTTAAAAGCTGATCCTAAAAATGGTTGCACATATACTATTTAAGCAAGCAATAACAACATCTACCCTCAGTGCATCCAATAATAGAAAGGGCAAACATTTTTGCAATAGTGGCCTTGCAGCCCATTGTTTTGTGTCCATTTTAAACACCATGGAAATGTTAAATTATGTATTTCCCTAAAGACACGTTGAAAGTGACAACGTGTTTCATGGCAGGACTTTGGTGTCCGAGTCAGGAGATGTGGGTTCTGTCCCTGGCCTTGCTGTGTGACACCAGCCAGGTCCCTTCCACTCGCTGTGCTTCTCCTCCTCTCTCGCCTCACACCCGAGATTTTCCTTCCCTGGGATGCTGGGGTGTAGGGCACCAAGGGAGCCGGATCTTGGGCACTCTCCCAGCCCTTGCTGCAGAGCACCAGGAGGTGTTGCAGTGATGGGAAGGCTGCTGCATGTCTTGGCTGACTTTTCCTGCTTTTACAAGAAGTGTTGGATGTGCAGTTTTAGCACTGCGGTAATGTGGGATATTGATATGGGGTTAAAGAAACAAGGAGTTTAACTTCTAATCTCCTTTAGCTGTGGAAAGTCCTGGAATGCTCCTGCCCTGTGTAACAGTGCCCTGTTGAAATTTCAGGGGGGGGGGCATATAGAAATATTTGGAATGTTGTGGGTACGAAAAAGCCATAGATGTTGTCTAGCCACACTTAATCAACAGGCAACTGGTGCCCTAATTAGCTGCTGGACTCTTGGTTCTCTCTTTATTGCAGCTGAAATGTCTTTGGACTGCTCGGGGAGGTGATTCTGTAGCACATACCCCTGGTACGACAAACACTTGAGGTGTTTTGTCCTTTGTGGTCTGGATGAGCGGCATTCTGGGACTATTCTGCCAGCCCAAAAAGATCTGGGGAAGAATGGGAGGACAAATTCATTACAAATAGCTTATCTGGGTTCTTCTGCTCTTTGCCCTGCCTCCCACCCTGTGTCTCGTGCATCCCTGGAATGCCCCCCGTTCCTCGGCTGTGCAGCTGCCACGGTGCCCGAGCAGCGGACGGTGACGCTGGACGTGGATGTGAACAACCGCACGGACCGGCTGGAGTGGTGCAGTTGTTATTACCATGGCAATTTCTCCCTGAATGCTGCCTTTGAAATCAAGCTGCACTGGATGGCAGTGACTGCAGCCGTGCTCTTCGAGATGGTGAGAGTCCTTGTGCTCTGGATGGCCACGGAAACGCCCGGCTGGCCTCTGGATCCCTTAAACAACCGGGGGCATTGTCGTGGGAAGTGTTAGGAGAGAGCCAGTGGGCTGGATCTGCCCTTATTTCCATGAGTAATTTTCCTGGTGGTTGTAGGCATTGCTGCATCTGGTCAGTGTTTATCACACTGTCTGTAGTCCTTCTGTCTGCAGGGCAGTGTTCTGCTGTCAGTGGGTTTCGTGCACAGCATGCAGAGATCAGCACAGGTCAAGGTGATAAATTTAAGTCCCCCTTAGGCAAATTTTAAGCTCTGAGCTGGGTCTTTGGAAAAGAATCTGTTTCACATTGCATTCCTTCTATCCCCAAACCTTAAAACTTTAAATCTCACTGGAATTGCTTTCATAACAAGGCTTTTCCAAGCATTGTGTTCTTCCTGTTCAGCAATGCTTTTTAGCTTTTTTTTTTTTTTAAACTTGCTGAAAACATTTTGAACTGAAAATATAAGTGGTTTGTGTCACTTGTTAATTTTTAGACATTTTTTCCTCTTGTGTAGCTTCTGTAAAACTCAAATTATTTAACACCAGGTTTTACCCCACCCAGCCAGACAGCACTGGGTAATTGGTTTTGCTTTTATTTAAAATCAATTGCACTGTTCCAGTAAAGCAGCAGTGTTTAGCCACTGGTGATAAGTAGGCTGAATCAGTTCCTGAAAAATGTCCTATTTTAAAGTGCTTTCTGATTGATGTGGCACTTCAGAAAAAGGCAAGCCTGATGCCTTGTGCTCGCACTGCTTCGCTTGCAAGGACGTTGGTGTGCCTGCCGTGCGAGCTGAGCCTGGGCAGAGCTGAGCATGGCTGATCTATTCCTGGGGAACGAGCTGCTCTCCTGCACAGAAGTGCTCCTCGTCAGATGGCAGATGTCCTATGATTCATTGTTTGAATTTTTTCTCAGGTTCAGGGTTGGCACCGGAAAGCCACCTCCTGTGGCTTCCTGCTCGTCCCAGTCTTGGAAGGCCCCTTTGCTTTGCCCAGTTACTTGTACGGAGACCCCCTGCGGGCTCAGCTCTTCATCCCCCTCAACGTGAGCTGCCTGCTGAAGGAGGGCAGTGAGCATCTCTTTGATGGTAAGGAGGGGTCCTCCCTTTACCCCAGGCGGGGCACTGCTGGCACGTGGCTGGCACAAAGGACCTCGTTCACCATCCAGGCGTTAGGTGGCTGAGGGATCTGTTTCTGCGGTTCAGCAGCCCCCTGAGGAAGGTGGTGTTGGAGGAGGCCGTGCTGGCAGCACAGTCAGCATGAACAGGGTGAGGTGGGCAGCAGGAAACACCAACACACAGGAAGGGTGGTCTCCCCAGTGATCTTTAACAGTTCACACCCTTACAGAGCCCGTGGCAAGTGGCTGTTCCTTTGACAGACCGAGTCTGTTTTGCTGGTAGACCCACAGCTGCTCTGCATTTGTATCCTGTGTTTGTTTATTCTCCCCCTCAGTGAGATTAGGCTTTCACCACTGCCATCCTTTTTTTGTTGTTGCCATGGTTACGTTCATGGTTAGAGTGTTTGCACATGAGATTAAGCGCTAGAAACTGCAATCTCCTTCTCTGCAGTGTGACCTCGCCCTTCCCAGTGACAATGTTGTGGTGAGTCTCAGGTGGAAACTCAAAGATCAGAGAACTCTGTCCCCTTGCAGAGAGGGGCAAAATTGCATCATGAGAAGGGACACTTAGCAAAAGGCTCTGTTTTAAAATAACAAATAGGATATTTTCATTAATCCTTGACCCAGTGTCCAGGTGTAAATGTAAAACAAACGTGACAAATCCACATGCTGCGAGGTCACCTCAGCCCCACTGACTGAACTAAGTATTTTCAGAGCACTCTGGTGATACACAGCAGCCCAATCTCCTTCCTTGTCCCCTCCACACATACCTTTATGTTCCTCTCCTTCATCTCAGGAGACACAAAATATGAATTCAGGGACGAGCGTACAAGACACATCTCTAATAAGATGGCGTTCAAGGGACAGCTGACAGAAAAAACTGCGACTAAAAGAAATGTCTAGGGGAGAAAAAGTGCTCAGAGGTCTTCTGAGAAAAACTGAAATCTTGAAACTAAGGAAATAAAGTAGCTTTACTAGATAATTGTTACATGTCATGTGTTTCAGGCTTCGAACCAGAAACGTACTGGGACCGAATGCACCTGCTGCAGGAGGCAATAGCACACAGGTATGTGCAGAGGAGTGACCAAAGGGTTTGTGTCTCCTTGGATAATGTGCAATGAAGATCTGTGCTGGACAGTCACTCCTGGGTTCTGTGCTCTCTGCCTCTCTGAAGTCTGCTCACAGATTATTAGACTAAAATACAGCCCCCACGCCTGGAGCTGGTTCTGGGGGTGCAGGGGGCAGGTATGTACTGTTTCAGCCTGTCACTCCTTAGAAAACTCCTCCCAGGGAGGGCACTGCCTTTGGGAAGTGCCCTAAGTTAAAAACTGATAGATGGTAAATAGATTCTTCCTGAGAAGGGACAGTTATTTCCTTCATGTGGATTTGACACAGTCTTGAACTGGATGCCAACCAGTGGTTGACAAGAGGCAGGAGCCTGGGATGGAGCTGTACACAGGAGCTTGGGCCCAGTTTAAGAAGGAATTGTTGGAAACTCTGAATACTCTCTACCCTTTGTGTGCTTGAACTGCCAGTTTGTTTCATGGTGTTGCTGCCAAGGTGTCTTTCACGACAGAGAAAGTGCCTTTTATGATGGACTTTAGCTTGGAAACCAGCTTTCATTAGTTTAGAAAGCTGGAGAGCAACAAGCATCCTACAAACAGCAGAGAACTGTCAGGTGAGCTGCTTGAATTCTGCGTGGGAGAATGTGCAGCATGAAAAAAAATGATGTTGCAGCTTGAAGCATAGCCAAGGAATGTCTGTCTGCTCTTCCTCTTCCCTCCCTCGTGTGCAGCTGCCCCGTTTTGTGAGAGGCTGCTTGGAGCTGCTGCTCCTGTGTCCTGCATAGGCTGGGCCAGGAGCAGTGTGGGGTCACAGCCTTTCACACTGTGCCTGCCAGGGGCAGAGAATACTTGGAGAAGCTCAGCTCTCTTCATCCTTCTTCCTCTTGCCTGCAGGCCATAAGAAGAGGGAGCCTTTGTCATAGTGGAAGGATTTTCCCTGGTGCCCCTGCCCTGGACTGAGGAATCCTACCTGGAGTGGCTCTTTTTACTTTTTTTTTTTTTTTTTTTTTTTAATTCCTGTGGTCTCTCTTTCTTCAGATTTGGATTTGTGCAAGATAAATACTCAGCCTCTGCATTCAACTTCCCAGCAGAGAACAAGCCCCAGTATATCCATGTCACAGGTGAGAAATATTTGGGAGGCACTGGAGCGAGGAGGAGGCTTTTACAAACAAAAGAACCATTTTACCTGCAATTTGTGCTTTGTGTCAGCGATGTTGGTCCTGTTTTGTCCTAAGCCAGATGACATGTAGATGTGTCAGCCAACACAAACCAGAAAACTGGAGGGGCAGTGTGAAAAGCACAAAGTGTTGCTGCTAGTCAGTGGTGCTGATTTGAAATCTTGCTTTATGGTGTCTCTAAAACTTTTCTTTCCAGGAGATGGGGAAATTATTAAAAAATATGGCAGAGCTTATTGCAAGGTCAGTGTAAATAAATGTGTACCCAGAGGCCAGAAGGAGGAAAAGGTGTTGGGACAAGTCAGTGCTCTGTTCTCATGCTTAAGGTCAGTTGTAGATGCATCTCTACCCATGGATGCTGTGAGGGAGACAGATAAAGCATTTAGGATCCTGCTTTCATTATTACTCCTCATAAATGTTGGTGGTCTGTCAGCACTTGTAACCAAGCTCCATGCATGGCACACTGCAGTAAAGCACATCCACACAATTCCCCGGGGTTGCTGAGACACAAAAGCAATGACAGGAAGAGAGCTTTTGGAAAATTGCAGAAGAGAATGGCAATTGATGGGAAGTTAAAAAGATGGATCAGGGCCTACAGCTTTGCTTTCTTCCCTGCCTGCAGGGGAAAGGCAGACTGAGAGTGCTCTCTCCCACTGATGTAACACGCAGGAAGAAGCAGCGAAGGAGGAGAATTGTATCCCATTTTCTCTTGCTGAAAGGCAACCAAATGACACTGAGGCCGCTTTCCTTTTCAGAATTTAATGAGCCAGGCCCCAGTTGCAGGGACTTGGGTCTGCCTCAGACTGAAGCCCTCCTGTCTCCCCCAGGGACGGTGTTTCTGCAGCTGCCCTATTCGAAGCGGAAGTTCTCCTGCGGGCAGCAGCGGCGCCGGCGCAACTCCACCAGCTCCACCAACCAGAACATGTTCTGTGAGGAGCGAATCGGCTACAACTGGGCCTACAACACCATGCTCACCAAAACCTGGCGCTCCAGCGCCACCGGCGACGAGAAGTTCGCCGACCGCCTGCTGAAGGACTTCACCGACTTCTGCTGGAACAAGGACAGCCGGCTCGTTCTCTTCTGGACGGACTGTCTGGACAAGATGCACGCCAGTGCTCCCTGAGATAGGCCTGGATCTCTTGGGGAGACAGCTAAAGCTTTACCTTGTGGCAAGGATGTAGAAGTGAAGGATGAGGGAAAAGAGCCTCTGTGTTGGATTCATCTTGAGGCTCCGAGAGGACCTGAGCGTTATTGCTGTTGATATTCAACAGAATTTGATTAAGTGCTTGAAAAAAAGAATCTGAGCTCTTGGCTTGCCAATATTTACCACCTGACTTCAGCTTGGTTTTAAGTAGCTGCAGTCTTTGATTGCCAAAACTTCAGTTAAAGCAGAGGTGAAGGAGGGAGAGTGCAAATGGTTTTCAAGGGCAGCCGGATGCGGCACGGTGTGATGGTAGAGGCTTCCTGTCAGTGAAAATGATGGGTGCCCTTGGCATCTGCTGTGCCTGGCAGCAGCCTGCCCCTGCCCTGCTGAGGTGTACCTGATTGTGTGAATATGTAAGATAAATGTGAGAGATGCTTGTTACATTTCATACATGTAAATAAGTAAAAATGCAGAGAAGCAATTTTGCAATTTTGCCCTGATGTGTTGTTGTATCCACAGACAGCAGTACAGAATCAGTGAGTGAAAGAGAACCATTGCCAAGAGGAAGTTCTGTTTCCTGTGCCCAGCTCAAAGTTCAGTGCTGGGGCTTTGTCTTTTAGGCTTTGTCTTTTAGGCATCCAGGATTTTGTTTCCAGCTCTGGATCTAGAACAGTGTCACACAGCAGGGAGCAAGAAACCAGTTACTGTCCTGCAAGGCCAGCACCAAAGCCTAAGGAGAAACCAAGGGCCGCTGAACACAGAACTGCTGCTGAGAATAATGCGCAGGTTGTTAGAATGTGTCTGCAGGCAGCAGAAAGAAGGTGCCTGTGCTCAAGTAATGTAGCCTTTGTCTTTGCACAGAAAGCTCCCACGTGGCTCGGGGCCTTGGCACGAGCTGGTTATTGAAGTGCAGATTTAGGGTGGGTTCACGAGCCAGCCGTGCTCAGCCTGGGGGCTGTTGGCTCCTGCTGCGAGATGGTTCCTATTGTTATCCCTCCTAGAGAAACGGGAGTCAGGGAGGGCTGACACCTTCACAATGTTGTTCAGGCCTGATTCAGGGAGAATCGTAGCTGCTTAATTTTTTGTCCTCCAAACTGAGCCTGGATGACTCATCTGTTTTGAGACGGCACCCACCCACAAAAGGTGGGTTTGAGCCTCGTGCCTCTTCATTCAGTTCCTAAGCGTGTCAGAATCATCAGCGCGTGTCTGAGCCCCATTAATGACTTAGAAAATGCTCTCTACTATGAAAGCAACTCGCTGCCATCTCCCCTACCCCGCCGTGCTCTGGAAGGCGCTGTGCACGCCGTGGGTGCTCGGTTTGAGGGCTCCCGGGGCAGGGCGGGGTGTGAGGCGGCCCCCGAGCCCCTCCTGGGCGGGCAAAGAGCGCCGGCGGCCCCGCACCTGAGCCCGCAGCACGAGGAGCGGGATCCGGACCCCGGCAGGGCTGCAGCCCGTCCCTGCTCCTCCACTTCGCAGGTATTCAACAGCTCTTCCCGCTCCTGTGCGCGGGGATAGAGCTAGCCCAAGGGTGGGGTGTCCCCAAGGGCACCGTGCCGGTCCGCTTTGCCCAGGAGAACGGGTGAAAACCAGCCCCGGCCATTGCTCACACTGAAGTAAGTGCGTCCTCCCCGGCCTGACAAAGCGCCGTTTTGGAGAAAAACGAATTAGTTTTACCTGAATTTCACCGAACTACTCTGTTCGGGTAGTTTTAACCTCTAAGCTGTGGGTGTAAAGCTTAGAGTCAGTCTGTTGAGTTTTGGAGCAAGTTTAATGTGTCTTTCTGAACTCAGTTGTTTCAACTGCAAACCTGGTGTGGCTTTAGCTTTTCAGGGCTGCTTTAGGCTTAGTTTTATTTAAAGCATTTTAAGGTCCTCGGGCTGCTTTTAAGAGCACAGTGAATTTCTTTCCTTAAAAAAAAAAAAAAAAGGCATACCATAGAAGCTAAAAATAGGAGATAATAGTTTTTATCTAACCACAACTTTGTGCATTTCATGGAAAAAGCTTCCAACAGGACATGAGGATGAAGCGGTTCATGGCCATGTTAAACAAGAATAAAAACAAGGATCCCCCACCCTCCAAGCTGCTGGATCTAGCAGGAAAGCTCTGCCGGGACCTCCAGAGCTCGTCCCCTAGTCTGGAGAAGCTGGTTGGGGCCGTGATGGGATGCAAACACAAGATGTATTTTCTCACTAACATCCACATTGTCCGGGCTTGCGTGTCTGTTCATATCCGTAATGGGCAGCACGACAGAGCCTGCAGCCTCCTGGAGGTAGGGATGTGTTCTTTGGTTCTTCATGGAGACAAAAAGCGGTATTGGAAAAAGAGTAGTTAGAGCTGTTAGTGCAGAGGGACCCAAACTGCAGCACGTGGAGCGTTTCCAGCTGGCAGAAGGCAGCGGAAGGTGATATGTGTGTGTTGGTGGACCTGAAACACAGGATAAAGCCTGTGCTACGGGCAGTATTCATCAGCCAAGGGGAAGAAGGTAATTAGGTGATTATGGGGTTGGCTGTAGCAGGATTTTCGTTCTTTAGTGTGGTGGTTCTTGGAAGTTTTCACAATCTTAGGGCTCAGGCCATAAAAGCCTTGGGAAGCCTGAGATTAGAGTGCTTGTCAGGGTGGGGATATATGAGGAAGGCTGGATGGTGCCACTCACGGTGAGGGATTTTGGCCTCTAGATCTGGTCATATAGCCCTTTTCACCAGGGGAAGAGAAGGAATTAAGCAGGCAACTCCCTGTGTGCATTAGAGAGGGTACAGGAGCCATGTGCTCAGGCAACGTACCAGCTTTGTCAAACCAGTAGGAATCTCTGAGTAAATTTCTGTTGTTGCAGGTTTTCTCTTTTATAGGAAGTCTGACTCCCAGGAAGGGTTTGTTTATACACTGTTTTGTTTTAGCGCTGCAAGGCAGAAGAGAAGGAAGAACTGGTGCAACTTTGGCACGAGGTTCACTATCAGAGGGTTATGGAGAGACAGCACAAGGATTTTCTGACACCGGTGCAGAGATTCCGTTGCAGGAAGAGGTACTGCATCGTGGGGGGACCAACACTTTTCTCTGCTGTAGTTAGCAGAGGTAGGGGCTACAGAGGCAGAGACTGGTTTTGCATGTCAAGATGCTGCTTGGAGCTGGTTCTTTTCTTGATGTTTTGACCACCTGTGGCAATGTGAGAAAATTCCCATGAACGTCAGTGGCTCTCTTTGGGGTCCTTTTTAATCCTGTTTTCTGCTGTGTACAGGAATCCTCCACCTATTTCCCTTTGTCCTGAAGGTTTGAAGACTAGAAACTATCCAGAAGAAGTCCGGCAGCACCTGCACAGGTTTGCTGTAGAGGTGACAGCAAACCCAGACAAGAAACAGCGGGTAGGGATGTGCTCCTTACAGTCAAGTCTCCTTGTCACAGAAAGCAGGACTCTGTGATCAGAAATTGGGAATTGGTGTTTTCAGAAGCCTCACTGGGGCTGGGATTCCTTGTATTTGATCTTTCCCTAAATGTTTCTTTAAAAAAAAAAGTCATCAGGTTCATGCTAAGTAATTTCTCTTGCTGTGGACGAGAAGTTGAGGGCAATAAATTCCTCTCTGGGTTTTTAACAGTTCTAATTTTGTAGTGATTAAGCACAGGCAGTGAAACAGCTGTCACTCAGAAGAGCTCTGTTACAGTGATAAATAGTTCTGTCTGCCTGGACTGAGTCACAGCCTGTGGAAAACTGCACTCTGCTCACCAGAACGTATTTTGTGCTGACTTATCACATCAAATTCACAGCTTTTGAAAACACAGTGGGCTGTGTTGATGTGTGCATGGATCTACCTTCTTTGGATAGGGACACATTTGTAATGGAGGTGAGGGCTTCACGCTTTGGGGTCTGCCTCTGTGAGTGTCATTCTGGGGGGTGAGTGTGCTCTGGTGAGGCATTATTTGGTGAGCAGTGTAATAGCAGTGTGTGGTTTCCTTTAGCAAACAAATTGTCTGGGGGTGCAGGGTGGAATGTGTGTTTTCTGTCAACTCTGACTTTATAAATTGGGCTCCTCAGTCAGACCCACAGAGACTTCTTGGAGACCCAGTGAGTGAATGTCCCTGGGTTTGAAAGCTCTTGCTGGGCTGCTTTTGGAACTGAAGGGAAAAGCCTGATTATTTGGATGTGGTTTATTCTTTCCCCCTTTGTCTCTACCTACACCTGGGTTTGCAGGAGGGACTGGCTCGGGACATGAACCTGCAGCCAGTTCAGGTCTATAATTGGTTTGCCAATTACCGACGACGTCGAAAACCCTGCGTCCTTCCCACGGAAACGCTCCACAGCTCCTGTCCTGAGAGGGCTTGGACTTCCCACACAGAGGAGGAGCAGTCTAAAGGACCCTACACTCCACAAACTGCAGGTTTGTATCTTCTTAATGGGCTTAGGATGTGGTCCAGAAAGCCAAAAATCAATTTTAAATTCCCTCGGGAAGGGAAGAAATTGCTTGTTGAGAACAGCATCTGTATGCTGATGGATCAAGTGGACTCGAGAATGTCATTGTTTGGGCAGAGACTGTGAGTCCATAGGAGCAGACACTCATGAGGCCTGGCAAGGACAGGTGAAAAGGGATGCCTGGCTCAGAAGGGGCACCAAATGAAAGCAAATACATGGGAGGCAGTGGCTTTTAGCTCTCAGATTCTGGGATCAGGGCAGTACTCCAGGAAAACCCTCTATTTCCATGCCCCTCCACTGAATCTTAACCAAACTTCAGTCACAGGGAACAGGGGGTCTTGCTGTATTTGGCAAATTAGACTCGTTTCACTGCCTTTTGGAGTAACCATTAGTGTTCTCTCACCTGCCTGGCCTGCACCTTTCAGGTGGATCTCATGCAGGCACTGGCTCTGAGCAAATGGAGATAACCCTCGTGCCCTGTGAGCCAAGGTGGGAGCAGTCAGCTGCAGATCTGGATAAGCCTCCCGGAGGAACGTATTTGGAGATGCTGGAATCCAGGTGATGTATGAAAAAATCTTTAGAAGTGACAGTTCAGAGACAAAACAACCCTTAAACATATTAATGGGACTGACTTTCATGTCAGTTCCCAGGGGACATCACTTAGGAGTCTTGACACCACAGATGGACATGGTCACTGCCCAGTCAGAGCAGTTGATCTCCCAGCTGTGGAGGGCAGGATTCGAAGGTTTAGCTGGGGGTCCCCTCTTGGCAAAGCAGTGCGGTCGGGCTGATTTATGTTCTCCATCATTACAGCTTTCTGCAGAGCCCTGAGCTGCTTGAGGCAGGAACAAGCACGGCTTTGTTCTCCATTCCCAGCACTGAACAACCTGCCCCTTTCTGCAGCGAGGCTGTGCTGGAACCAGGGCCCTGCTTTAGGCCTGCTGTGCTGCAGCCCAGAGCAGCAGTGAGCAGTGCTGGGGCCAACCCCCAGCTGGGGAGCTTGGTCCTGTGCTCTTGCAGGCCCCTTCCCGTCCTGGATGAAGGCCTGGCCGTGTGGCAGGGCCCTTGCAGCACCACAGGAGTCTCTGACTCTGTGTGGACCCCAGGTACAGAAGGTTAGTAAAACTGCACCCAGATTGTTGACCTTAAGGTTTTCCAAGCTTTTCTTCTCTTAGTTGTAAACACTCTTGCTCACTTTAGTGGCTTTCCAACGTCATGACACATGGGAGCGGGGCTTATTTTGAGCTTTGGAGCTCTGTCTCTATAGTAGTTCAGTAAGAAAAATCTGTTGATTTAAGGTGTTGAAACAGACATTCTTACCTACTCTTTGGCTTAAACTGTAATTGCTTCCATAAGATACTAATGGATTCCTTTTAGTGTTTCCACTGGAGGAGTCCCTCCAGGTGTTGTCTGCTCCCCATGTCTGTTTTTAATGCCAGTTATCCTTAAGAGATTGCTTGAGAAGAGGCTGGGAACTTCTTAACTGTGACATGGTGCTCTTCAGGCTCACATTCTCATTTTGTTTTCCTCTTCCTGCTTTTCTCTCTCTTCTTCTTTGTCTCCTTCCTGCCCAGTCTTGTTCAGCATTCCCACCATCTCTTTTCTTTCCCTTGTTCTGCAGAGTAGCCTTGATAGGATACATAAGGAATGTCCACTTGATTTTGCTGTAGGTGTACAGAACAGAAAGGGCTGTGACTGCCACTCCCCCAGCCTCTGGTGAATGTGGAGCAAGGAGAGAAGGGATAACTGGATCACGTTATCTGCCTCTCTACTTGTGTTTAATACAAGCATTTATTTCGGCAGGTATCAGAGTTCCCTTGAGCAGAGTCCCTCAAGGTGGCTGCATTGAAGGCAGTCCAGGAGGAATCATTCAGCAGTCAGATTTAGAGGTTGAAAGCTTCATCCTTAGAGAAGGACAGCTAGGGACCCTGGAAGCCATTCCCCACAGGTAAAGAGAGGGAAAGCACAGGGCTGCTTCAAGGCAGGATTAATGATGCTGTGGGTGTAGCCCTCTCCTGAGACCCCATTGAAGAGGTTTGCAGAAAGAGTTTAGTGATGCATCTCATTCCCAGGGCCTGATTCTCCTTGTGTCCATCCTATTTTGCATGTGCAAAATTTGCATTATATATATATAATTTGCATTATATCTGTGCACTGGCAATGTTGTGTAAGTGTATATGTGTGTGTGTGTGTGGCACAAAGGGGATTTGGAACCAGCCTAATCACAAAAGACACGAACCCCTCTTTTGAAAGCAGGTTCAGCTTCTGAGCCATTTGCTTGTTTTTGGCAGAAAATCATAACCTGTACTGATCCAGTGAGAGCTGATTCTGTGGGCTGCATTGGTAGGGCCTGCACTTAATCCTAAAATAGTTTTTGTAGCTTCACAACCCCATGACAAGATTATTCCATAGTGCAAGCTTTCCAAATCGGAAGACAGAAAGACAGGCACTGTTCTGTCTTTCTGTTTTCCACCTGTAACAAATGTTTCAGAATTCAGATTTTCTCTGGGACTTAATATAAATTCAGAGAATGCAAAACAACAAAAATTCGTGCCATTTTCCATATGTTACACAACTTGCATCAAGTTACATAAAAATAAACAGTGCCAAAGAGATATTATGAGCTTCCTCCACTTTACTGATCTGCAAGACTGAGCAGGAGCAGCAGCCCCATTTCACAACCCATCTGTTGACACTGTCCAGTGTTTGTGCTGTAGCACTACAATGTCAATATGGCAAAAAGGCAGGTAGAAGAAGCTTTATTCCCACTTTGTAGAGGAGGAAGCAGAGGCACAGAAAGTTTTGTGACTTGTCAAGCAACAAGGGAAGGCAGTGATTCACTGGAGATAAAGATCAGTGAGGTTTTGGCCCCAGTTCCCTGCTAAAAACATTTCTGCCTTTTACCCCTGTTTCCCAGTTGGCTTTGTGCCTTGTTCACAGTCGTGTCAGACTCCTCTGAATTGCTGGGGAGAACCCAGGTCTGGGCATTGTAAACCTCACTCTGTGTTTTCAGATTTGCAGTTTTCAGCAGTGGCTAAAGATCACAAGAGATCAGCGAGGCTTGCTGGCAATATTTTGGCTGGATTTAAAATTGCATGTTCTGACTCTGGAGTGAGCTCATGTTTATTTTTAAAATATGTGCTGCCAGTAGAAGAAATCTATGGTGGATGTCTCCTTGTTGGGTATGTCAGTTGTGCCAGGAATCCACACACCCTTTATCGTATTCCTGGCAGGGGCGGGACTCGCTGCTTCATTGGCACCTTTTGGTGAGGATATATTATTTGAACTCTATTTGTAAACCCTGTTCAGTGGCCTGGTCCAGCTCCCCCAGAACCCTGAACTCCCCAGAACACCGTGAATGCCATGGAACATCAGTCTTTTTTAGAAGTGAGTGATGCTCAGGCTGCAGTTTCAGCAATTTCATTTTGCAGTTTCTCTCTAGGGAGCCAGGAGACCTCGTGTGGGTGATCTTGGGTAAGATCACTGCTGAGTGAGTGGCAGTGGGTGAGGATCACCTGTGTTATCAGGCAGAGCCCTCTCACAGAGTTCCTGATTTGAGAGGACTATTGTGTCACCAGAGTCCTCTTGACAGTCATGTTGCAATGAGCATCACTCATCTGGGGGCTCGTGAGCAACAGCTCAAACTGGAAGAGTCAAATGAGTGTTGCTGCCCTGGAAAGACAGAGCAGTGAAGTTATCCCAGCAGTGCACAGAGAAGGAAACTAATTAGCCAAAGTGACCCATCTGGAGTGGACTCAGTGTTATGCTCTCATGCCTTGCCAGACTCCCTGCTTCCTGAGTGCAGGGATAGAGCTGCAAGTCAGCCAAAGGACCCTTCATCTGCTTGTCTCATTTTTAAAGGTGCTCACCTGGAAAGGACTTGGCTGAAAGCTTATTAGAACAACTCCTGTTGGTTTCTTTCATGGGCTTTTTACAGCCAGTCCTACGCACTTGGGCTGTATCCAAACCTCTTCTGATCTACAGGGCTGTGAGGTGGGAGTGTGAGAGGGAACCAGGCTGGGAGCTGACTGTCTCCATCTGCTTCTGCTGCCTGAGAGGAGACTTTGATCCAGCTAGCGGACTGCAAGTCCCTGTGGGACACCAAACAGATGCTCACCTGTACAGGGAGCGATGGTGCATCCTCTTCGCTCTGCAAGTCAGGCCAGGTGGAATGTAGCCCAGCTAATGGTTCATGCAGAGTGGAACCCTCATCTCCCATTTCAACCAGAAGAGCACCCTGAGCTCTGTGGGGCAAAGCTTTCTGCATTTCTGAGCCAGCATATTGATCTAGAAAATGTCAGTGCTGGGATGGCCGTGGCAGCTCACAGCTTCTGCCTGCATTTCTGGGAGCCCAGCTCAGAGTGCCGGGAATCCTCCTGCTGTTGGGCTCTCCCTCTGGATAAGCCAGCACCCTGACACTGGCAGGCAGCAGGTCCCCAAAAACAGGGGTTACTTTGTGGCAGTTTTGTAATTGCACGGCAGGACTGGTTGCTAAGGGCGCTGTGCATGTTGGTGTAAGTGGGCTGTGAAAAGGGATGAGACATTCCTGATGGGGGTGGGAGAGGGAGTCGAGTCCGTTTGTCATTAGGAAATGTGACTGCCTGAAAGCAGCTCCAGCAGAGGAGTTCCCTGATGGCTGCAACCTGGGGAGCGTTCCGAGGGAGGGCAGTTTGACACCTGCACTGTCGCTTCTCCTTTTTTCCTCTGCTCTGCTGGTGGGCACCTCTTGTCTGGGCCTGTATGGACACTCACACCCTGGGCTGTTTCAGGTGGTGGTATGGGCAGTGTTGTTGGATTAGAAATACTTTAGAGTTGGTGATGATGGGAGAGAACATCCCATTTTTGAGTACCCAGTGTCTGCTACTTGACCCAGTGCCCACAGACTGATCTCTTGAGGGGCTGGCAGAGCCCCCAGGGGAGTGGGGATGGGGATCCAGTCCCCAGACTCCACTGGTGGCCTTGAAAAGCTGTAGTAGCATCATAGCCAATGTTGTGGCTATGTCTAAAGCCACATGTTTGTTTTGACTCTGAAGATCTCTGTTTTTAAAATATGTTCCAGGAGAGAGACTTTTTGGTGGACACCTCCTTGAATATGGAGAGCGTTTTGGGGGCAGAAGGAAAGTTGCAAATTGAGATGTCATTCCCTGATACTGCTCCTGCTCAGGCCTGTCATCCCACTGCAGAACCTCTATTCTCAGGCCATAACAATTTGGAGAAATGGGGCAGATGTGGAGACAGCTTAGTGGAGCTCTATTAAATGAATAGTCTTGCCAACAAGCCCCTCTTGTCCTGCTGCAGAGTATTACAGGAAGTGGCGAGTAGAGCATAAATACAAATGCACTTGTGTATGGGTTTTTTGCAGTTCCTGTCAGACTGTGTTTGGCAAGCCCCAGTGCCCACCTGTTTCTGCACCCTGCATGGAAGAAAGCCAAGCCTTGGGACAAAGCCAGGTAAGAGAGCACACCTAATGCTCAGAGAAAGGAGCTCAGCCCTATCACACTATCCCCTGCAGCTCTGTCACAGGAGATGGGGAATCTCCAATCATATTCAAAATGAAACATGTTTGATCTAAGCATACCTTTTGGTGTCCAGTTCAGAGCAAGCTGGGCATTCCTGGGTAACATCCAGCAGATACTGGATGAGGAGAGGTGGTTTTGTTATTTTTCTTTTTCCCACTTGAATTGTTTATCAGACCCTAATTTTATTAAATGTGTCATTGAAGTGGTGGCCAAAGGAACCTGTGCACATCCAAAGTGTCACTTAAACTTGGAGTCATGGAGGGCTCACCTGGCACTGTGGAATGATGGCTGCTTGAGGGTCCTCCCCTCTGAGGGGTTCTGCACAATCTGATTCTGCTTTCTCAGACCTCTTAAAATGTTTCATGTAATTTTCATTTCCAGGCCTGTGTTGTTGTTGAGGAAAGGGGATTTTGCACTGTTCTGAGATGGCTGATAGCACTATACAGGGCAGTGTGATTATAGGGCAGGATAAGAGAAGTTACTTGCATGCTGTGGATGCATCTGCATGCCTTGTGAGAGTGATTTTAAGGCAGTAGAGAACAGAAGTTGGAAATCTGGTGCTTTCAGAGGGATGGGGGCACATCTCTGAATTAAATGTTTCCTAAATAGGACCCAAGAAAGCCCTCTCTAAGCCATACATTGAGCTATTTTTTGGCTCCACGTGTGTTGGTCCAACAATCAGCATCCATTGCTGTTTCCCTTGCAGTGTAAACCGCTGGAGAAAACCTTTTTAAAAGAGATTATGAAAAGCAGGAGCCCATATCTGCTGGCCTCATTATGGGAAGTGGCTGCAGCTCTGAGGGCAGTAACAGAACCTCTTTTGAGCCTCTGAAAGCATCAATATAAAGATCTGTATCTTGGAAAGTGGCCTTTTTACCAGCCATAATGTAAGCCAGACGAGAAGGAAAGCTTTGGGCATTAATAATGAATGAGCCTTTTCTAAGATTTCCAGAGCAGGCAGTCTCTGTAGGTAGTTTTCATCTTGCTGTTCTGCATTCCTGCACTGATTTTGCAGTGGTGTAGAAACATGACACTCAGTACAGCGTGGGCAGGGGAGCAAGGCACCAAGTGATGCTTGCAGATGTCAAAGGGGACACCCTCAAATCTTTGTAATAGTTGCTCAGCTCAGGAATTCAGAAGAGCAATTTTTGCATATTTTAATGAGTGCTCTAGGAAAAGGAAGAGCTTGAGTGGGTAAATGATTTTACAGCATTCTACAGACTTCCTGGGCACTTTGCTTCTTGCTGAATCAAGTGGCTCTGGGCTTGTGGCAGGGACGTGCAGATATTTGGTTCCTATGACTAAACCACAGGGGTGCAGATGGACACTTATTTTTGTCCACACATGGCTCAATTTGCTTTTTGTAGGTTGTACATACCATCAGAACCAAAATAAGAGTAAAACAAAAGCTAAAAAACCCTAAAAATATAATTCATTTTGGAGACATTTCTTTCCCTTCCTGAGCAGAGCGCCCTTGTTCAGGTGGTCACTCCCTTTATTATTTCATCCTGGTCTCACCTTCTGTCAGTCACTGGCTTTTACAGGAGCCAGAGCCTTGGGCAAAGGGAAGGGAATTGCTCTGCTCTGAATTACCGAGAGTTGGACTGTGCAGTGTTTGTACCTGTCACTGTTACACCGTGTCCTGCACAGATGGATCACTCTACCTGAGCTTGGAGGGGAGCAAGGCCTTTGTCCCTCCCTGCAGAGAGCCCTCAGCACTGACACTGCCTCCCATCACACACCTTGTGCTGCTGCCTGGCTGCCCAAAGGAGCTCTCCCACCATAAACAACTGTGTCAAAAATCATATGTAGTGGGGTTTTGATTCCTTCCTGTGTCTTTCAGGTCCTGCAGGATCCAGTTGGTGACCCATTAAGCAGCGACACGTTCTGGGCAGCGTGCCTGCTCTTTGAATTCTCTGCCAGCGGACAGATGTGACCTGCCTGCAGAGACACTCCGGCTGGGAAGAGACACTTCCCCAGGAATCACCCCATCGCTGCCTATTTTTTCCTCTTGTGTTTTTTTATAAATGAACGAGGAGTGTGACAAGGGGATGAATAAGAGTGAGGGTGAGGGATGAAGGCGTTTTCAAATGGTTACAAAGTTTGGTTTACTTACAGTTTTATTAAGAATTTTGCAAAGAGTAGAAGAAACATTGTGGACTGCAGGTTTTTAGTGGAGCAGTCTGAAGCTGTAGTGTAGAAGCTAAAATTACCAAGGCACTGATTCCATGGCAGTTCCATGCATTACCCATAGCACTGGTCAGATCCGAGTACTTCATTGCATCATGAAGGTAAATGAAGCTCCTATACTTCAAAGGAGTAAAATTTAATTATATTGCCTTACAGTAGATATTGGATAACTTTTTCTCAGGTCTGGAAAACAAGGTCTCAGCTCAGTGCTGGTAAAATACTGCTGTTTCTTGTCCCTGCGTTCCTGTTGAATGCAGGGTGTAACTTCTGGAGGGTTCCATGTTCTGTAGTGTCACAGAGGACACAAACTGGAGCACGGTAGAATTTTCGGTGCTAAAGATCTGGCAGGACTGGGGGAGGGCATACCATGGTTTTGGTGTTAAACACCAAGAAGTAGCAAGGTAAGCCCTTGGTGCAGGGTAAAGCTAATCCTGCAAGTCATAGGGAGTGGTCTTTTGGGTATTTTCCCTATTTTCCCTTTTGGGTGTTTTTTGCAGTGTTACTAAGGGGGTTTAAATCTGTATTGGAGAAGGGGTCATCTTTGCCAAACCTCCAGCCCGGAGATGCATGGAGGAGATGCTTCCCTTACCTTTTGTTACAAAGTTAGCAAATAAAAGTTGTCAATTACTGTTTCTCCAGAGTTCCTTTCTCAAGGTAAGGGTATTAAGTGACAAATGTCACAAGGCAATTATGTATTAAAACCCAGCACCAGCTGCCCTGGAAACAATTGCGCATGGTGAGACCCTGATGCCTCCTTTATTTTGGTGGCTCTCACTCGGAATGCCCATTTCTTGCTGTTGGGGGTTCTGGATTCGGAGCAGTGGTGCTTGGAAGGGTCACGCACACGTTGTTGTTTCTTGCCTTCAACAGCGGGGCCGTGTTTGTACGGCCCTCGCAGCCCCCGGTGAGGGACGAGCCCGCCCCGCCCTCACAGCCCCGCGCCATCACCGCCCGCCCTCCTCCCTTCGGGGCCGTTCCCGCCGCCCGTGCCGCCTCGCCATTGGCCCGAGGGCCGCCCGTGCCGCCTCGCCATTGGTCCGCGGCACCGCAGCAACAGCGACAGATATATCCTGCCGCGCCCTGATTGGCCGCCGCCTCCCGCCGAGCCATAGCAACAGCGGGGCGCGCGCGGGGCGCGCGCGGGGCGGGGGGGGGAGGGCTGAGGGGGCGCCGGGAGCGCTGAGGGGCGGGGGCCGCACGGGCAGCGCCATCGCGGGCACCGCGGGCACTGCGGGCACGGGGGCCGCCCCCACGGCCAGGGCTGCTGCCCGCACCGCCACGCCGCGGGAAAAACTGTTCCCCAGGCGTTGGCAGTGTCGTTTCTGCGACCTGAGGTGGAAAGGAGGCAGGACACAGGGACGCGGCTGCACGCAGAGGGCAGCGGCCCCATAGCTAAATTCACACTGGATTCTTAATAGAGTGTTGTCCGAAATCCCAAATAAGGTACTTTATTTTTCACCCCTACTGGTATGACATGTCACTACGATTACTATGATTTACCTAGTCAGTGGTATGTGATACATGTGGGTGATAACACTTCCAGACTGTTGAAGATGTGTTGGAGTAAAGAGGAATGATGCCTCTCTTACAATGAGATGTATTTTCAGTTCCTTTCAAATATTTAGTACTGTTCCCTGTCAGGGAAAAGGACAAGATTAACATTGTGTGTATAGAAGTTTTGGGTACCTATCATTCTATAATAGATTATTTTCTAATAACCCATGCTAGGCAATGCAGGTACTTTGGGTTTGGATATAAATGGCCTTTGTTCTACCATCTTAACCATACCAGTGACCTAAGGCCTTGGAAGTTGTTTAAATAATTCAAGAATACCATTGTTTTGACTTTTTGGTTAAAAAGAAGACGCTCAATTCAGCAGAATTTCTCAGGAGTGCGACAACAACAAGTCTCTTCCAAACTTAAATCTGAAAAAGGATTTTCAGCTAAAGCCAAATTAAAGCCTTTTCTCTCACACTTAATGAATTTCATTTCCAAATTTGGCACAGTTGTTCTCTGGAGGACAGCTGAATTTTCTAGGTCATTTCCCAGGTGAAATAACTTACTACTTTTCTGTAAATTTGTTAGACAATTCAAAGCTTAATATGTGAAAGTGAGCAAATTAAAATTATTTCTCTTCAATGTATGTAAAATCAAGTGTTAAAGTACAGTGTGTTCTGGCCCACTATTATCTCATGTCACCTGGAGATCGAACCTGCACAAAACACTTTTGAGGAGCTAATTGCATTTGGACAGGAACTGACAAGCAGGTGATGTCAGAGGATTTGACCACGCTGAGTTACAGGCCAGCAGAGTTCTGAGGTGGGCTGTGCTTCCCCATCCCTGAACCAGAACAGAGGGGCTGCCTGGCCATGCAGGGGAGGAAGAGAACAAGTGAATCTGCTGAATGCCAGTGCTGCTGGGTGGAGTTAGTCTTTGAAGGAGAGCCCAGTGGAGTTCTTTCCATTGTGTTCACACTGGGGTAGCATTTGAGTTGTTCAGTTTGTGCCTTACCTCGTTCTGGTTTTCTAGGTGTGATTTGCGTCCCTGTCATGTTCTGCTTTCCCTGTCCTACCATTTGGAACAAGCTCTGGATGTGTTTATGCTGTTCTTCCTTGGAGCTGTACTTGGAAGCACACTGAGCACGTGGCTGACCTGCCCTGAGCTGAATGTGCTGTACCTGCTGTTGTCATTCCTCCTCCTCCACATGGCATGGCCTAGCAAAGGAAAGAACTTGCCCTAGATACAAAAAAAAAAGCCATTTTTATCCTAAAATGCATATAAGGGCCCAAAGAACAGTGCCTATATGTGTTGATGGGTCACAGAAAGGGGATGAAAATCTAGGAGGCCTTTCAGAAGTTGTTACTTGGCTGTCCCTGAGGCGAGGGGACACTTTCCCAATAGTCAGCTATCCATGTTTTCCATACTAATGCCAGAGGCAGCTTTTCTGTGGGCAGTTCAGCAGACAGTCCTAAGGCTGGCAAGGCCAGAGACCGAGCTGTTGCCTGTCAGTGGTTCTCTGTTGGAAGTGGGGTGTGCAAGTGGCCATGTGGAGGACCTGCATGGCAGCCGCCATGAAAACCTTCCCTGAACTAATCCCAGCATGACATGAGCAGCAGCTTTCCCTGCCTGTAGTCCCACTGGCAGTTCTGCTATCACAGTCACTGAATGGGTGTCCACAGCCCACTCAGGACAAATGCTGGGAGATAGAGCTGCGAGGCCAGTGTTTCCAGGCAGTCTGGATGCCTGGCTCACCTTGCTTGGGGCCTCATTTTCAGAGGAAAGGAGCACTTACATAGTGACTCAAGTAGGGCACCCAGAATAAGAGGCCACTTCTGAAAATGTTAGCAAAGGCATTCTGCTTTATCTCTGCACTTCATCAGTCTTACCCCCAAAGTCTTTCATGTTATGTTCTACAGTGAAAGGTCATTGTTTCAGATCAATCATTTTCAGCGGGACTTAATCCAGTTCTAAGTCAAACTAATCCACTTTGGTAAAGGTTGAAAAGCAGTAAAAATTCATTTGTTAAGACAGATCTGAGCTTATTTTTTAAATGTGGCTGTTGATGCTGAGTCCTTAATTGTGTATGCCCAGCATGAGGTGTCTTCGGAGTGGTTCCAAAAATGATGGACATCTAAATTCTGATCTTATCTGTGGCTTGCAAATGCTCAGGACTTTTGGAAAAACCCTGGGATTTAGTGGGATTGTTTTTTTTTGGTGTTCATTTTGGTTTTTTACTTTCAGTATTTGCTTAACAGAGGTGGTTTTTTTTCCTTCTCTTACCTGTAGAGCTTCTTTTCAAAATGGTGCTCTGGTGGCAGCTGCTGATAAGCAGGCTTGTTCATGTTTTCCTGTTGAAGTTTGTGAATTCTGGTAACTTTCTCTTCATTACATAAAGTAAAACAGCATTCTTCTCTCTGGGCAGGACTAGCAAACTGTGGTCTGAAGCAGCTCATGAGGGGTTAAAGCTGCTTTCAATTAGCTACCGTGTCCTCAGCACTTAAAGGAACCCCCCAACTGAGCATGCCTGACAACCTCCTGTGCATATCCCTGAATCATTCTGGCAAGGAAAAACTGCCATAATCTTTTATTCAGACATAGTGCTGCTTCCTCAGTGCACTCTGAAACGAGCAGGCTCTTGAAAACAGCCCATTTCGCCACAGAGTGCTGGGGATTTATCAGCTCGTGTCTGCACAGGATTTTGGACATGCAGAAGGCTACTGTGTGTGAATGCTGAATGGTATGAAAAATACTGCAGTGATCCCAAAAAGGCTTCTATGTACAAGACCTGCCCTGTCCCATGAGGGAGCAAGAGAGTCACAGGTTTTGTACAAGTCCCTGACCTTCTGTTTTAAGGGTCTTCCCCTTTTAGTGAATGGATATAGAGTGTACTTCCCCACATTCATGGCATGAACTCTGCTGCTGAGCAGCCCTCTGGCAGTGTCAGCTTTCTCTCTTCATTCTAGGATTTACCTTTGAGTTATGACGGAGGTTCTGGGAGAGTGATTCAAGATTAATATGAAATTGAAATATGACAAATAGACTATTTTCACACACACTGTGACAGCCTAGAGGGTTCTGTTGCTCATTAAACTGTGGTGTATGGTTTGGCTAGAAATATGTCACTGAAATTACAGTCCCTTGTGGTTTGGGAAAGAATCATCACACTTCAGCTACACCCACTGCTATCTCGTGCTCTGATCTTGTCATTGGTGACAACACCTATCCTCCTGATGCACACTTATCTCACTGTACTGGGGGAATGTGCTGCCAGGATTCTAACAATAAAAATTACAGATAGTCCTAAGCCTGGGGAAGAATCTGTCCTTACAGCACTATCTGAGCATCGTGCCCTGTGGAAGTGCCAGTCACAAGCATTTCCGAGATCAGCTGTTCGCAAACTCTTTGTCCCTCTTTCTCTACCGTGGTTGCCTCTACTTTGTTTGCTGTGATGTGGAAGCTGGTTAACCTCCCCCATGAGTGGGTGGTTTCTTCTGTTCTCTCTCTGTTTTTTAGTACCTTGTCCCCAAGACTTTCATCATTTAACAGCTCCCTAAATAAAACATTTCCTTGCTGCAGAAAAGAGAGGGAAGATCACCTGCTCCAGGGATCAGGAGGATGTTAGTGGCAGAGACTTTGTAGCACCACTGCTGTAGTTCCATGACTCTCAGGAAGAGTGCCACAAAATGTGTGTGCTCCCTCAGTGCTACCAGGACAAGCAAAGGGGAGGCTTTGTTCCCTGGGGAAGGGCTGGGAATGGCACAGGGTAGTTTCCTTGTCCTGTAGACTCTTCACCAGTGTCCCCACAGCTCAACGTCAGCAGCGGGAGACACCCTCTGAGACTGCTGTGGTGTCCCCAGTGCCCCGTGTGAGCAAGCAGTGACCTGGAATGGCATTTCAGAGGAGCTATTTGTGGAACATGGGTGCTGTCCAATAATCAGATACGCCTGTGGAGCAGAGCCACTGCCTTAGGTCACAGTGCAATTTTCAGTGCCATAAGTTTCTCCATCCACAAATTCTTGCTGGGTGTGGTCACTGCTGACAACTCTCAGTCCTGCCTCATGAGAGCAGTATTCCTGAGCTTTGACAGGAATCATGGAGCTCTGTAATGTCACGTGTAATGCCTGGCGTCTGAGC